AGAGACACTCTCTCACTCTCTTTTTATATATATATATATATATATATATATATATATATATATATATATATATATATATATATATATATATATATATATATATATATATATATATATATATATATATATATATCGGGTCAATGTGGCAGTGTGTCCTACCCCATCTTCTCGGCATAATGGGCTAAAAGCCCAATGGATAAACATAAAAAAACATGGGCTAAAACCTCGTCTCGAAGGACGAAGAAGCTTACTCGAACGAAGTCGAGAATAACCAAAGTTGATTAAAGAACTTGCACCAAAGCTTCCCTTATGGGCGGGAATACGTGGGAGAGCAGGGCGCACAGTGAACCGATATCATGACCGTTGATTTGCTCGGAAATGGTCGAGACGATGACGTGTGATCTTTGGAAGATATTCTGGATGATAGTTCGTCGGGGGTTTCGCCGGAGGGGTACCTGCAACGCCGGGAGGGGTTTCCCGGCGTAGAAGCTCCGACGATCAAGTCAGTTTTTTATCGAAAGATAATCAACTGTGATATGTAAGAGAGAGCATAGAAGTGATAAGTTGAGAATAACTCCCTATTTATAGGTGAGGATACTTGATGGGCAAGAAGTAAGCACACTTGCCCTAACTACTCTTCTTGGGCCAGATATGATTTTGGGCCAAATACAAGTGAAAACTCAATTTACGGCCCAATAAATGATTAGGAAACCCCATGAAGACAATTTGGTCCGTATCAACCGTTGAAGGGTGAGATTTGAGATCAATTTCCGTGATTAAATTACGAATGATCATTGATTGAAGCAATCATAATAAATCATACCCCTAATATAAACAAATTATATGAACCCTATTAGGGTCACACATTGACAATTACACTAAAGAATACAATTTTGATACTTATACTTCACTACAAGAAATTGTCAAATTGGCAACAATACGTTTTGTTGCCAAAAGATTTTAATTTCGTTGCCAATTCCTCTTGCAACAAAATTATTTTGTTGCCACCTTCGTTGTCGTTTCCTTGTCACCAAAAGTTTCGGGCAACGAAATGTTACAAATCGTTGCCAATAATGCATTATAGACAACATTGTTATGTCGTTGCTACACATTGATCGTTGCCAATGCATTAAGTAATAACAACAAGTCTATTTTGTTGCCATACATTTATCGTTGCAAATTCTTTGATAACTACCAACGAATTTATTTTGTTGCCACAAATCTATCGTTGCCAATACATTTATTAATAACAACGAAATTTATGTTGTTGCAACACATAAATCGTTGCCAATACATTAATCATTAAGAACAAAATTAAGAACAAAATTGTATTTCGTTGCAACATATTTATTGTTGTCAATACATGACTTATTTTCGACCGCACCCGCCATCCCGACCTTTGGACTACCGACCCGCATCTGCCGACCCGACCTTTGGACCGCCAACCCGCATTTGCGGACCCAACCTTTAGACCGCCGAACCGCTTCAGAGTCGGAATTGTTGGGTTAAACTCATGATTTAGCCCAATAGGCTAACCCGCTTGATAAATGTCAAATATATGGAGACATGACAATGGTAAGAGTCGAACTCTGGTTGATTTGAAGTTAGACACCCTTCAAACCGCTGGGACAACACTACATTTGTGTAAACGGACTGAAAATAAATTTATAAAAAATAAATACACAAGATCAAATGATTAAAATAACTACATAAATAAATAATATGTCATAACAAATAATTTATTATATGTATTTTATGTTCAAAACATAATTCACAATAAAATTTAATAATAAATATAACATCTATCATTAATTATATATAATAATTTTTTAAAATCATATCAACAATTGACTTAAAAAAAAATTATGAGTTATTGTAGTTAATATAAACAAATAAGATTTTTCTTATCAGATTTTTCAAAAAGAAATATTCTTTTGCAACAATAAAGTTGTTGTCTTACATTAAATTCGTTGTAAAATATATACGATACTATTCACGACAATATGTTTCGTTGCCTATGAGATTCAAAGGCAACAAAAATATCTTGTTACAAAAACGTTATTCTTTAGCCACAAATACTATATTTCATTGCTAAAATATAACTATTGGCAACGGAATTCATTTCGTCGATAAAGAAATCGTTGCCTATTTTGCATTTTCTTGTAGTGCTTTCTCTTCATTTCTCTCCCTTTTATCTTTATTCCACCAGCTTGTCCATCGCCGCCGGCTCAAAATCCGGCGACAGGTGGATTTCCCAACATTTGAAGGAGTATGGCTTGAAGAAAGGTCTTGAGGGTGCAAAATATATATATATATATATATATATATATATATATATATATATATATATATATATATATATATATATATATATATATATACATGAAACCGATAAATATGAATAATTATAATAATATAAAATTAAATACCATGCAAGATTGAAATATTTATTATAATTTTCCTGAAGGGGAATAAAATTCATTAAAAGATTACATTTTGCTTAATTATATTCCTTTCTTTCCTGTATATATTTTGACAAGGTATATATATCCAGCTGGTGACAAGTAAAGGGACCTAATTAATGAATTAAATTTTAATAAATAAAATACCTAATTAATTAAATTTATTTGGCCTTCTCAAGAAACGTATTTGCATGTACTAGTACCTGCGCAAAAACAAGCAGAAATTTCCATCAGAAAATCATTTTATTATTGTATCAATATTTATAATATGAGAGAGAGAGAGATCTAGAGAGAGAAAGGGATCTAGAGAGAGAGAGAGTTGATTACTGGGGTCGGAAGAGGTGACGACGCCGGTGCCGGAGAAGTCACAGTTGAAATCTTGGAGGCCTTTGGCGTGATAATAAGTATTCATGACGAAGGAAGCGTGGGCCCTAACAGTGGGTGGGTTGAAGCACGCGCCGCCGGGTTGAATGGGCTGGCAGTCTATCCCTTGGCCGCACGCGTAGTTTATGTTGTTCTGAAGTGCGGCGTCGGTGGCACCGGCTTTTGGCACGCACCACTTGTTACTGCCGGTCACTGGTGGTGCAGGTGTTGGCTGTGGTGCATGCACGAATTTATAGGGTTACAATTAATTTATTTTATTTAAAAAAAAAAATTAATTCCATGCAGAAAGTAAATTATCATGTCATAATTAAATAAGCTACTCTGATTTATATTTAATTACCTGGAAAATAAATTAATCATTATAAATTCTTTTAGTAACGGGATAATTAATTGGTTCATAAACATTAAATTGAACACTAAATAAAGCAAATGGAGAAAGAGTAAAGAAGAAGCATATATTATAACGGTCAAAAGGATAAGATTAAAAAAGTAATAGATATAGAATATAATAATTACATATATTATGGAATAAAGAATTCAACCCCACATCCAACTTTTACAACTCATCAATCAAAATTATTATAAAGTGAAAACTAAAATGGTATTCTGAATTAAATAAAATTGATTCCGAACAATATTTTTATTTTAGAATATCGAAAAATCTATTTTTGACTTTTTCCTTCAAAGAACTAGAATAATATATATGAGATTTCAATCTTCAATCTGATTTTTTAATTTTTAAAATTTTGAAATTACTTATATAATAAAAATAGATTTTCCGGATTCTAATTCAAAAATTTCTATTTTAGGAACAATTTTTTCACATTTTAATTTCCAAAATTTGATTTCCAATTTTTCTTTTTATTTATGAAAGTGTAATATAATTGCTGGCCCCACACGGTTCATTATATTTTAATTTTATAAATTTTCGTATGGATCCAATATAACACGCATGCATATATATATAGCTAAGTTTCCACTTTAGCTTATATATCACATGTGATATATATTACATTCAAATATTTGACGTGTACGTGTAAATATATTGACCACACCTTACCCACTAATACTATATAGGTATGGTTGGCTGTTTATTTTTTTAGTAATAATTAATTTTCAATTATGGAGTAGTAGTTTCTAAGCTAAGTCTACATAATTAAATTATTCGAGATTAATTAATTAATTGTCTGAAAATCATTAATTAGTATACAGATAATAAATAAAGAAATCACTAAAACAATTAATTAATTGTGTCACATTAACTAAATTACCTTTGAAGGAGCAGCTCCACCGCCTCCACCGCCACCACCGCTGCCGCCGCGCATAATGCCAACATCGTACACGGCGGTGAAATCCGGGCGGAAGAGACCGAAGTTTCTTTCCGCCATGGACCCGGTTTTCTGATTCTCATTGAAGAGGGCGAATATATACGTCTCGAATCTCCTCTTCGGCATCAACGGCGTCCCCCTGCCGGCGTTGTAGTGCCGGACGAGGCCGCCGTTGTAGTCGGCAGCGTTCGCCACCGAGCATTTGGGCTGCTCGTAGGTCTCGCCCTGCGACGCCCACCCCGTTTCCCCGACGGCGATTTCCACGTCGGGGAACCCTAATTTCTTCATGGACACGTAAACGGAGTCGAGGAGGAGATCGAACATGTTGCCGTAGGTTCTACGGATATACTTGTCGTAGACGCCTTTGTTGGGGCGAAAAAGAGCGAAGTCCGATTTATCCGGGCTGTACCCGAAATACGGGTACGGGTTAACCATGAAGGGAGTCCGGGTCTGGCGGTGGAACTCCAGGATCGGGGCGAGGTAGTCTTTATCCCAGCCGGCGGTGAATCGGGCCAGGCTCGGGAGATCCGACGGCTGGAGGATGCCGAGGGAGTGGGCGGTGGTGACTTTGACGCCGGTGATTTTCTCGAGGCGGAGGGCCTTGTTGACGGAGTGCATGGCGGCGACGAGGTTGTCGCGGAGGTCCTGTGGGCCCCAGTGGAGGATCTCGTTGCCGACGAGGATGTACTGGAATTTGGTCTGGGGGTGGAAGGGTTTGATGTTGGCGGCGATGTAGCGGCGGGCGTAGTGGATGTTGGCCAGGTTGGGGATCTCGCCGTTGGGGATGGTGACGGAGACCAGGATGCCGGTGCCGGCGAAGGCTTGGAGGATGTCGGCGTTCACGCCGAAGATCTTCACGCGGTCGATTGTTGTCTTGTCCTTGAGGAACTGAGCCACCTGCGCCGGCGGAGGGAGGTTGTCGCCGAGGATGCCGTAGTTGACGCCGATGGCGTCCACCGCGGCGACGGCGGCAGCCAGCAGGAATAGGACCGCCCGAAACGGTGACGGAGGCACCGCCATTTCTGGAAGGTAAAATACAGAAGAAGGGAGGATTGTTAGGAGAGATCGATAATGAAGGAAAAGGAATGTATTTTATCTATATATATATATATAAATAAATAAAATAATAAAGAAATAAAATATTGAGAAAATTTAGTGAGAAGAATTTTGTGTGATGGGCAAAGGTCAAACGGTCACAGACCAATCACTATTACTAGGTTGCTTCCATCCTTTTGGTTGGTCCACGTGTTCGCCACTTTTGTCCTAATTTATTTATTACATTAAAGTAATCAAATTTGTATTTGCAAAAATCAGATTGAGTTTAGCTTTCTAAAAATCAGAGTAGTCAAAACAAAAAAAATCTGATTATATATCATGTTAAAATAAGTATGTTTCTTACTAATAGATTCTCACAATAAATGCAGTCAGATTGTTTACTAAATTCTAGATATTTATTTTCCATATAAAACACTACTATTAATCTTTAAAATCGAAATATTATATCAAAAAAAATATGGAAAAAATCAAAATAATAATAATGATAATGTCACTTAAAACAAATAAATGATTTTTAAAATTACAAGTACTACCATAGAATATTTATAAAAAAATAAATAAAAAAATCGGTCAATAATTCTATGTAACAACAATTAAATAAATGAACTTCAGGAAAAATAAAAATCCAATCACACACAAAAAAAACTAAACTAGATACACTGGAAGCAGAGTCTAGCCAAAATCTGCAGATAATAAAAGAAAAAGAAAAATAAAAATTAAATAAAAAGCAACTGCATTCCAATTTTCCATATGAAAAATTACAACAAACAATACAGACACAAATATGATGAAGAAGAAGAAGAAGAAAGGCATCTTCCAATACAAACAAATGAGGCCACATCCCTAAACAGATAAAGCCCATCAATTACCACACTGACAAGAACAACGTTTAACGCTACTCAAAAAAACCCTCTCTCACTCGATCACAGGGGCAGGATCTGTATTTCTGGCTGCCGCCCCCTGCTTTTTATGTTTCTTGCTCTTAGCTTTCTTGGCCTTCATTCGACGTTTCTTCTCGTTTGCATCGACCCACGTGTAATCGGCTGGTATGTTGAAAGGGTCAACTTCGTCGCGGAAGCTTCGGCCTTCGCTGTCACTGGACTGGGCCCCACGGCTTCCTCTCATCCATGAAATCCATGACGTGGCACCGTCTGACGAGTCCTTGGACTTCGAATCCTGGAAATGGGCCGGGCTCGATAAAGGGGTTGAGAACTCTTCCATTGGCTGGAGCTCCTCGAATTTGGTGAATGTTACGAGCACGCGTATTGTTGGCACAATCGGAATGGCAATCTGTGTAGTAGGTTTAATTTAATCCGTCATTTTTTAAGAACGTAAATCGTCAATAGACAATAATAACAATGAACAGTCCAAGCACAATAATTTATGATGGAAACAATAATATGAAGGTAGAAAATCCGATACCAATTACGAATCGCTACAATATGAACTCTTTCATCACTCTCCACTATGTTTTGATCAAGTGTTTAAAACTTAAGACAACATTCGAGAAGGTAACTACAAAGTTACATAGGACATGATTCCAGAGATAAAGAAGAGTTTGGATTGAAGTTTTACGGTCAAAAGTGTAGGTTGGTCTCTTTAACGAGGAAACAAGTGTTGGCCTTCTCAAATGTCCACGTTCAACAGGAATTAAAATGGTTAATGGAGGTATATGCTAAAATTCAGAATTCACACACATCAAAAAGGTTTTAATTCAAAGTGAAAATAGTGTTATTCGACAGAGAATATTACCTACCACTATTATCCCTATCAATGATAAAACGTTCGATTTCACTGGAATGGTATTGCCCTCAAAAGTAGTGGCTGGGAGTGGGTATTGTCAAATTCATTATTGTAAATGAGATAGCACTTTAGAAATCGAATCTTCGTTATAGGAAATAGAGCTCTTCTATGTTGGGATGTTGGAATGTCGCATAGTTAAAGCAGGTGTGCTAAATTCGACACATGTAAAGTTCTATTTTTACTCAATATTTTTTTTACTATTAGTATTCTATCTACTATTACTATAACGACTAATTGCGTAAACTTAATAATTTAAATTCCATATCTCTGTCATGTCTAACGTCCATGCATCACTGAAACAAATTACAATAGGAAGTCTAAAAGTGACTTAGAAGGTAGTAAACATTAAGGCAGTTGCAAATGAATTAAGGGAGAACAACAAATGGAATAAGATTAATTTCAATTTAATTTCAATATATCAGCACACAGAGAGAAAAAAGAACCGCAAAAGAAAAATGCACATGTATCAGTATAAGTACCTTGACGGGAAATGTGCCAGGTGGAAATTTCGTGGTCAAAAGCTCCCTCAGTCTTCTGACAGCTTTGACCTTGTTGGCAAGTATGTCAAGCAAAGGCAAAAGCTCTTCTGTTTTCAAAGGGAAATCCGGTGTTAACCACAAAACAGGTCTCAAACCCTTCTTGTACTCGCTTTCATTCTTCGATTCAACACTGACCCCTTTCTTCTTTTTCTTCTTGCTATTTTTATCTTTCGACTTTTTAAGGTCCCCCGCATCCTCCTTAGGAAACTCAGATGACAATCTACGACTGTCGTTCGACTTCTGCTTACTATCATCAGGCGCCAACTTCGAGAACTTCTTCAAAAGTTTAGAATCCTCAGGGTCGTCTCCCATGTTCTTGGAACTCTTCTTGTTCCAACCAAACCAACTCTTCTTCTCTTTGTTAGTAGCACCACCATTGGATTCACAGCTTTCGAACGAACCCGAATCCAAATTCTCGTGGCAATCCTGCACCTCACCGTCTTCCTCCTCAGCAAAACCATCCCCCATACGAAGCGCAGAGTCTAACTGCGATCGTTCCTCAGCTGTCAACACATCATCGTACTCGTCATTTTCACCCCCATTAGCCAATCTATCATCATCGTTAACCGAAAAAAGCTCCTCATCAGTCATAGCACCAGGAACTCTCCTTGACTTCACACTCACCTGGACATGAAGCATATCAAACACCTTCGCCTTCCAAGATCCAACCATTTCAGTCCTTTCCTGTCTTCTCCAATTCAAATGGGGAACAAGCTCAGCCTGAGTAACATCGATTCCCGGTCTGTACATATTAGTTTGAGACATCAAAGTCACTTCGTGCGCCACTTCAGCCTCAGATGGTTGAACGCCAGCTCCTTCCAGAGCATTTGTGATCTCTTTCTCCTTGTGAGAGAGCACAATCAAAGATCCAGGTGGCAAAGATATATTCCCACCCTCGGCGGAGTGACCCTCTCCAAGGAAGAGAAAAGTTTGATCCGAACGCTGGATACGAAATCCATCAAAGCCCGCAAGCGTCATATCTGCACGGAGATTCGAACCGCGTTTCCATATACGGTAAGTATCCGAAGGGGCGATTCTGCCGATGAACGGTATAACCGTGCTCTCAAAGTGGAAAGTTATCTCCATGTAAAAGTCTCGGATTCGAGATGCTGATGCCACAATCCTGGGAAGCCTCCGGCACCATTTAGCCCATGCGAGAGGCTGGTAGTGCCGGGCAATGATCATGGCTATATTCTCTTCCCTTGTACAAACTGCCTCTTGAAGCGCACTCCATCCATTCTCGTTCTGAAGACTCCAATCGGCACCAGCTGCCATTAAAATCTCGGCAGAAATTGCATCGTGCAGACGCACTGCGAGGTGCAGAGGAGTTTCCCTGCCTGGAACATCCCGCCTGTCGATCATTGCAGACACAGCATCTGCATTCTCTTCAGCAGACAAAGACTCGGCCTCGGTATTCACCTCGCCTGCCTTTGGCAGGCGAGGCAGTGCTGCTACTACCCGTTTCAGTGTCACATAGTCGCGCCGTAGCACCGCCAAATGGGCAGGACTGTGCGTATACAGTGACAAATCCTCCATTAACTTATGTTACTAATATGTGACTCCACTTTTTCAATCCTACAAAACCTAAACTTTGTCGGTTGTTCTTAATCCAACAAAAAGCTCGAAATCGGAAACTTCCACCATCATTACAACGCAAAAATGCCAAGGACAACACCTCAGTTCGAGCTCCTAAAAGATCCCAACTTTAAATCCACCAAATCTTGTATAACATTCCACAGTTTGAAGCTCAATTAACCAATACACAAAATCGCAAAAAGTCTTGATCTCAATTTCACATCACCCAGAATCAGATTCTGATAAGAACACATCAAATAGTTAAAACAAAAACAAAAAAAAGTCGCGACAAACTATAAAAAAAAAATTAAAAATAACTCGTCCTAGCTGCAGTTTTAGCTCCAGATTCCAATTATTTCCCAGCCAAATTTCAATTTAAAAAAAAAAAAAAAACGAGTTAGACGAAGATTACCCGAAAATAGAAAGAAAGGTATCCAGATGTGTGAAATTGAGGAGACTCCCCGAGAGAGATTTGAAAATCTGCAGAGATTCAGATCTCTCTTCCGTACTATTTATCTCTATAGTATGCAGAATTGTGCGAATACATGTGGGAGAGAGAGTGGGGGGTATGGTGTTGAAGTGAAAACCTTTTTTCCTTTTTTTTTTTAATTTTTAATTTTTCTTCAAAGTGTAATTGAAAAATGGTATCTGCTGCAGCAGCAGCTGCTGCCTGCTAATACTGTTAGCTGTTTCAGGAAAGAGATGTAAATGTTCGCCCTCAGATATGGGAAGTTATTACGAGTTTGCCACAGGCGTGACATTTAAACGTATTCGCTATTGTCCCCCACCCCCCTACGAATTGTTTGCTGACCCACCCAACCCAACCCAACTCACAAACCTACCACTCTCCAACGAGTCACGAGCGTGTGCATCTAATTAGTCAATTTATATATTTATCAAAAGAGATTCTAAGAAAAAAAGTAATTAATCTCTTTAATAATCAATAAACAATCCTCAGTTTATAGGGTAAACATATAAAAATTTAACTTTCAAAATGTCGGCACGGTCAACTAATATAGGTCGTTGATCATTATCGATTGATTAATTTCATCTATTTTACTTTTTGGAGTTTTAGCTCGTAAATTTCTTTTGGCTAATTTTATATATTATAGTCACTGGTCTTATACTTTGAATGTTGCACTTTCCCTTTTTAAATTTCGCTTACAATTAGCTCCGTAACTCATGCGAAATGTCTCGAATGCCCCTCACTTTAAGTTATTATTACAAATGTTCTTTTTGCCCTTCAAATATGTTACTGCTCGTAAAGACATGTTCTTAACACGTTTTTAATAATAGTGCATTTTCTAGAAACGTGTTCCTACGAGTGTTTTCGAACATCAATAACTTTATATTCAAAATCACTGTAAGTCACAACGTACTTAAAAGGGGCAAGTGCAGTATCCAAAGTACAAAGTACAGTATTGGTGATTGTCTAGTATATGAAATTAGCCAAAAAGGATTTGCGAGAACCCCCAAAATAAAATGAATATATATTTACTCGTCTAAAGAGATTCTAAGAATTATTCATTTTTAAAATCTGTAATAGTCAATACAAAATCCTTCTTCCGGACCGTCGGCTCACTCAATTAATATAGGTCGTTTTAACGATTGACTAATCTCAACCATTGGTTCCTTTCATTTTCGATTTGGTGAATCCAATGAGTAGGGAAATTTGTTAGATTTGGACTCTGATTATTTCGATTCACCGAACCCAGATCCATATAATCGATATATTCGATTCATGAACAGCAGATATAATTGATACTTGAAGTGGTTCTCACAATAGAAATGAAATTTGGAGCAAATAAATCATTTTTGTAAATAAACAGTCAAATTCAATAATGATACATACGAAAACATTGGCCTGAGTATAATTAATTACCTGATACAAGAGAGAACCTGGTTTCGAAATTGGATGTCAATTAGCAGATAAATATTGCATAACATGTGTGTGTTTGTGGTGTTTTGTGAGTACGAAAGCATGTCTTAAAATTTCCTGGCAAATAGCTCACATGTTAATATATTATTGTCCATGGAGCTTGCTGAAGTCCCAGCACCCAAGACAGGGACAAGGTTGAAATTTGGCCCCTTATCAGAGTCGATTCTCCCGCTCCTCTCACAAAGTTCGTCGAAAATAGTGGTAAAGATTTTTAACAATGTTCCATGGTTGGTTTTCGCACTTGATGTGTAATAGATCCTCAAATTCTACAATCAAGAAAATTCAATGAGAGACGTTGAAAAAACAACCAGAAAAAATTGTCGATCAAAGTTGAATATGAGCAACCAAATCGAGACATATATAAAACAACTTTAATTGGGAAAAAGAATAAATGCAAGAAGAACAATCCAACTGTTTTTTGTTTTGCAGATAACATGCAAGACTATTAAGTAAAGGAAGATGCACAACTATTCAAACAAACAAGACGAAAGATGGGAGAAAATATCGCAGCATAAAATTGAGCACAAACAGAAGAGAGAAACTAACCATTACATCATCCCAAGAGAAATCATTCTCTAGGAGGACCTTATCGAGAAGATAGATGCAGAACTCTGCTGTTGTTGCTACTTGTTTTTCGGTATTGTCATTGCATTGTGAATCGTTGGAAGCGGGTTCGGTGGTTTGAGAACATATCTTCGTGGAAATTTCATGTGTGACAGATACGGCAGCTGAACATATTCTTCCACTGATGATACATTTCTGAAGACAACTATTATGCCAGCTTTCATGCTGAAATCCCCAATAAGCTTGTTTCGTAAGTAAATCTTCTTTGGTGACACCAGTTGGAGTCTCGATACTCTCTCCACTGTAAAGCAAGGGTTTTACTTCCACTAAAGCTCTGCACACAAAAATCCGTAAAACAAAAGTTTATGAGCCTATATCTATTTCTTGTAATATTAAGTTCATTTTGTGTATCGAAAAGTAGTGCATGCACAAAATGTCCAGAGAAGATAATTCTGATGATTCGGTGAAACTTAACAAGTGAGAAATATGAAATATGTGCAGATAATCATTTATAGCAATGGCTGTGCATATGATGTAATAGTGAATTAATTAGCATTCAAGTAGGTAGGTCACCTTTTTGGCAGATCAGGAACAAGAACGTATAAAACGACAGGACCAACCAATACAGGCCTGTTGGACCTGCTTATACTATTTAACTGCGACTTCATTCGCGCAAGGCAGACATCTTTCTGATTGTCAATGGCAATTCTATCTGACGAATTCAGAGATGCTGAACAGTAAATGACCATGGAAACGGCAGATGTAGATATTGAACAGTTAAAACAATTTGCAACAGCTTCACTGTTCTCTAATGCTTTTTGAAACTCAAGTACAGGACCTCCTTCACAAAGTAACATTGTTGGTGGGTCAAGTCCCAGTTGACCAGCCATATACAAAACATCCTTATACAAAGTTGCCTGGAACATATGCATAAACACATGAGTAAGTTTACAATGAAAGAAACTTGTTGGCTGCTAAAGTCTACATGCCGTGTGATAAGCAAAAAAACCATAATTTAACCAGAAACCACATCTGAAAAAAAAATGTCTAACCTGGCTGTATGGACCAATACAACTAGGAGCCCACTCGGAAATACTTTGCACATGCAAAACATTTTTGGAATTATCGATGGACACCAAAACTTCAAGATACGCCCTCCCCAAACCAGCTTGCAATAGAGGAAGTTCTATAGTAGAACGTGACGGCACACCAAAACGACACTTTTCTTGAGTAATGAACTTCACGTATTCAGCATTTGCTAATGCAAACTCATTCATATCGGAAATATATAGATGTATGTAAAGAACGTTCTCCCAAGAGCAATTATGTTCAATAAGCACCAATTCAATTTTTGTTAAAACCAAGTGCAGATCCTCTCGCATATCTGTCAAATTAGAAATAATGATGACCAAATATGAACTGTCAAATGAAAGATATCTCAAACATAAAAATAAGGAGAAGAAAAAAACTGAGAACGTATGCATGTGAATAGAAAAGATGCTTCTTCAACCACAGTATATTGCCATCATAACTTAATGTTATACCTGCTGAGTTTTTAGAGGGATCGTGCAGCCAGCACGCAATGGAAAAGGTATTGTCCTTTTTCGGTTTTGTGATATGAAGTTCTTGTTTTGTATCTAGAGCTAAGTCACTTATCACATCATTGTTTGGACACGGGGCTTGCAAGATATCTGGGCAATCTCCCAGAACTTCACAGACTGAATCAGATTCTTCAACAGTTGCCTGGTTGCTGCTGTCAATATGACTGGCAGATAAAGAGACCTTCTTCTCCAAATGATATTCCAAGGGATGAATAACCCCCACAGGAGCTATTTGATCTGGTGAATGTGAGACAACTTGAAATTTATCCAGCACAACTCGAGCATTCTGAAAATGATCCATATGCAAGTATTTTAAAATGGAAAGGAAATGAATACAAAGTTAAACATAAGATCGAGTAAAAGTTAGAAATTGTAGAATCATAAGCTGAATCAGCAATGAAGACAAGCACAAACTGTATGTATCATCTCTCACATCACAATGAAAATTACAAACTTCAAAAAAAGAAAGGGAAGCTTACTCTGAAGAGGGGACAGTCCAAGGTTAAAGTTTCATATTCTCCTCCTTCACCACATACGTTTATCCCATACAACCTGCCAACGAATCAGCAAAAGAATAATTGGTCTGAAGATTAAATGTAGTGGAGTATTATAGATGAGTTGGCTAACGTACTCTTTTATCTTGTGAAGATGGGACTCTAAGTCTTTTATTTCCTTCCCCAAATGCTTTGAAGGGGTTAATCCTATAGCTGCAACCTATGAAGAAAAATGGATAGGATCAAATATCTCAGGAACTCATTTAATTGAGATAAAGAAAAACATCTTTCCACTTTCTCTGAAAAATCTAGCAAGCACAGATAAGAGTCAGTCAAACTGTTAAATAAAAGATAACTTTGGGTAGAATTGCTAAAAATAGAATTATAGTTTAGGACATCAATCTCTTAATGTGCTACATCAGAAGAGCACTGAATTGCATAAGTATGTAAAATGTGCACGAAAGAGTGAAAACAAAAATCAAAAAGACAATTGAAAAGAAAAGTTAAATACATCTTATACCTTTACTGTGATGGCAATAATTCCACTTGTTATCTGGAGAGTAACAAAAGACAGAACCCCTTATTATTAGTAACAACATAGTTCCTGTTATCTAAACACATGTATGGAATAACATTAGTATTTTAAATATTTTAGAACTATTAACTGATAAAAGTAAATTTTACCATTTGCCGAAGGAGCAATGACTGATCCTGCCTCCACAAATATGATAAAGAAACAAGCCCTAACCTCGAACATACACTTTCCACCCGCAGTCTTTGATAGTCAGATGCAATTGCACCCGAAGAGACTGCTGAAACAGAGGGAATTTGCCGTTTTACTTCTTTTAAGAGAATTAACATATCTTCAACCTCATCCCCAGGAGTCATATTGTAGTTAAGGCCGTAATGCCTGAATAACAAATTATCAAGTGTGGAATGAGTTCAACATAAAGGCAATTAAACACAAACTCTTCAGTGATATAACCATAGTGGTATGCACAGGTGCAAATGTTTGAGCCAACTCTTGAGCTTTTTTAGCATGACGGTTTTGCTTTCAGATTTATATGCATTTATTTGTTTGATTTCTAGTGAAATACGAAGTGTATCACAGCTTTCTCAGTAGAAACATTATATATCTAATTATACCAAAAGCTTCTCACTTAAAGGGCTTGCCTGGTAGATCCTTGAATCCGTCTTCGAAATAATGGAATCCCCATGCATTGTGCATAGCTAACAACTATCTGGTGCCCCACCTGCAAAAGAATTCAACTTGTCTTAACGAATTAAGATTTAACAGAAGACAGAAACATTGATTCCGAATTGTAGATTACAAAGAAGTGATTGCACAACCAACCAGTTCTTAGCATCAAAGTGTACTAATTTTTCTGTATATCTACAGATATAATTACAGCTCATATAGCAAGAAAATTATTCCAACAATAACTTCCAGAATATAATTACTGAATAACCAAGGAAGAAAATGAATGGTTAGCAGGTTAAGAACTTTAAACTTGTCTCTTTCGAAATGATCTCAGTACTAAATTTGTGGAGTGAATATATTACTTCGTATTGCACCCGGATTTCAATTCTTTGCATATTCCACCATATGCATGAAAAAAAGAGCCTCCGAAATCTGCTCAATCTCAGCTTCATGGACATTACTCAGACAGGCAAATCAGGAACTAGTTTAAACTTTCGCAAATCACTCCAATATTAACGGGAATTTCAGTTTACGATACAATGATCTAGCAACTAAAATAGAAGAGAGTTCTATTTCTTCAATTGGTGAAACAATGTTAGACAACGGCCACCCATGTGATCTGTTTGAGCCACTCCCCGGTCCTCATAAACATAATTGTCAATCATTCATTCACATAAAAAGAATGTAACTTCTAGCAATATGCTATCATAAAATGTTCATCAATTAAAATTCTAATAATAATGGATTTCTTAAAAAAAAAATAAAGAACATACAATCTTTTCAATAATCAAGCGAGTGCAGGTTGTAAAAACGAATTTAAAGGAAGGCAAAATGCTTACTGTTTGATACATGTAACTGTCAAGCTCATCTTGCGCTTCATCAACAGGCATCAAATTGGCTAGCGCTACTATCTGAAAATCAGGGATTTGAGAAAAGCAGAAAAAATCATTACCAACCGGCTTCCAAAAACTAACTCCACACGCACTCAAAATATAGAGAAGATGAAGGCTTTAAACCTTGTGGCCGTATTGCTGGCATTTCATCATCGCGTAGCAACTGTCCTTACCGCCGCTGACTAGCGCCACCACTTCCATTATCGCCGCCGCCAAATACCTCCGCAGGTTGAGTTGACTAGGGTTTCGAAACGCGAGAGCTAAATTTCCAGTAGGATCGGGCCACGTCACTTACTCTCCAATAGGTTTCAATTCCTACTTGCTTGGAAACTTCACAAATTCGCTGCCGAACCGAATAAACTTCCAAAATTAAAAACTGCATTTAAGGAAACGTACGAGAAGAAAAAGGAAAGAAGAGATGATTATTTAGCCGCATTGATTACCGATTCTTCTCAGTTGATCAACTGGAACGGTCGAACTGCTCGGAATAAGGTCAGTTCCTCGACGGCAGCGATCGGCCGGCGCACGTTTAAATAGAGACCTCTGTATAGTGAACCACTCGGGAGAAGATACAAGTGATTGATTCAATTAATTTGCAGGTCAATACCAATTTTTTATTTTATTTAATATTTAATAATATGGCAGTAATTCATAGTTTATTAATTATTATTACCCACAGTATAATTAAACAATTTGTTTTGCTGAGTACTGTTTGACTTTTAATCATATCGCCCTAATTTTATTTCCCCTCTCCTCCTCCAATTTCTCCACCAAATCAATTACAAAGCACTAGTCAGCTTCAATAAATGTGTTTTTTCTTATTAAGTAATAAATTTCAATAAATGTATATATTTTATTCGATTAGGATAAACTGTATGTAGAATTTTTTTTTATTTTTGCACAAAAGAATTGCTCTGTATTGAACTACAAACTCGATTCACACCAGGTTGATTTCAGTCAAATTATTTAATACTCCCTCCATTTCAAATTATGTGTCGTTTATCGACTCACTTCTCCTAACACGTTATTTAAAGACAACTTAGCAAACAGAACTTGAATGTTACATATACGAAAATATCGAACAAAACAAATATTTGTCGTTCAACTAACGTAAGCTAAATATAGTTCTAATTTTAGGCCTTCATCTTCGATAACTTTCCACGAAACCTTTGCAGCTTAAGTGTTTACTCAAATATCAGACAAGGAAACCGGAAACAAATAACATACACAGACAACCAAAAAGTCGGAATACAAAAAAGAATTTGATAAAGGCAACAAGCAAGAAAAGAGAAATACACCACAGTTAAACCAAACTAATCCCACCCGGAAAAAAATAAAATGTACTAAGTACTACACATTGGCTCGAAAAGAAATAATTAATAAACATTTTTTTTTCTTACAACTACAAGCAAAGAGAAGTGCTAAAAGCTGTGAACTAACATAATATGTTGCCAGTTAGTTGCCAGTCAACAATACTGGTGCACTCTCACCAAGCATTTTCCGAAGCCCCCATGTTACGGAAATTAACAACTCCCTAGCTTGACAAGCATGCTACACGCGGACTGCCGAATCCCATTTGATGGTTTGTCCAACAAAAATTACTGCTTTATCGCAAGTTCGATACAAAGAATTCATTATAGACACCTGACACGGAAAAGAATGCATTAGATCGTAAAATCATGTACAAGACTGATAAAGGAAATTAAATCTTTGCGTGCAGCTTCTCTTTATCAATGTAAACAATAACCGTCTATGTATTGAATTGCAGGCTGCAGTTTAAGCAATGTAAACCAAGAAGAAAAAACAGGCAAATTATATTTAGTATCCTATATTCATCATTGGATATAAACTTCAATATATTTAGATAGTTGGCTCCGAAGTATTGCGATAGTTTCAGTTGAATATACTTTCAAATTGAGTAAAATTAATTTTATTCACATATATAAAAAATTTACTGTATGGACACGTGTAAATGTAGGCTGCTTGTACGAGGATTTGATACTACATGACTATAAAAAGACAGGAACGATAATGCGCAAATAAAAAATCAAATAGCTAGAATGCAATCTAATGGACTTAAATAGAGCTATACCTTTCTTAACGTCAACAGAGATCTCACCAAACATAACTCAGAAAGGAGCCTCAAGTGATTCATCCCAAACATCTGCACTCCCATTAGAGGCATCTTCTGCATCTTCCTCCATTGAAAGCCTAATATATTCTCTGTGCGCAAAGCGATCCCACTCTGTCAAAGTTGGGTTTTCGCGCTCCTGTTCAGGAATTAACAGGAATTAAAAGGATGAAAACAGAATGGAACTTTGACAGTCTTCTTGGAACATTCAGAAGCAGCGCCCTTATACATTAATTAACAAAGTTGCATCAACTTTACCTGCCGAATTAGGAAAGGGTCACGAGTCTCAAAAGCCATGAACTTGTTAAGGTTAAAAAGGATATTAAAAACACTCCCTGAGAGCCTGCTTCCTTTCAAATCACGTAAAGTAAAATAGCTCTCTTCCTGCAAAATGAAATGAGATCGAATCTTGTGAGATGTTACAATAGGTAGATACGAATTCCAAAGGCGAATCAGTGAAAATTTATGGTCAGAAAAGAGACATATTACAACTCTAGTGATGTGCCAACAATAATACTTAACCAGATATGCATTGTTCAGTTTATCTAAATCATCTGAAAATTTCCAATTAAATGTTCTCCAAGTTCTGATCTTCGCCAACTCATGATCCGTATATTAAATCACACTTTCACAGTCTACTCAATTCCGTTTTCATCTTAAATAAGACCTCCACCTCAAAGAACCAAACTGGAAGGAAACAAAATAGTAAAAACAAATATATACAAATAAGATATTGGATTTTACAGTACAGAATCCTATGGCAAAACTATGATGTGGCAGGACGAAAAAGACAAACGGACTAAGTGGCAAATTTTATTTTTTCTTTCAGATACATGAAGCACAATAAACTGTCTTTATACCATAAAATAGGTAACTCAAAAAACTGAAAGAATCAGAAGAATACAGTCTTTTAGAAGTTTACCTCTGGATTAATCATGTCAACTATTTGACATAAAATATCCTCAAAAAGCACAGGCTCTTGGGCCATGCACTCCATTCTATGCAACTGCTCCTCATAAAAGAATTGCATCTCATTCCTCGTTATAACTCCATTTCCATCTAAATCTATGCATTTGAACCTGACGCAGATAAAATTATTATATACATGCAAAATATAAAGTGTTCCCTATCGAGTAAAAATATTTCATTAAATTTCAGATGATTTCCAGTTTAGGTCGGGCTGAAATGCAGACCAAACTATGAAAAAAAAAATTAAGAAAATCAGTAAAAAAAAATACAAAAAATACTCTAAAATCCTCTTGGGTTGATTCACAGGGTTAATTCTACACGCACTTTTTCATCCCTTACAAGACACTCAAAATGTAGGACTTTCCTGTTGTATTCATTCTCTACCAAGACTTCATATCCTACTTCCTTAGGATTGTGGAAAGAGAACCACAGCCCTTCTCCGAGTCACTTTAGAAACGTGTACACCCAAACAGTACAAACCACATTTACAAATGGATACTTTAAAAGAATCAGACTCCACATTTTCCTGATAACCTATCCATTAACTGGAGATCACTATCTCAGCAAATGAAAACCATAAAATTCAGGTATGAGGCTAGTATAGCCATATCATGCATTTCAAATATTAAACTTGATATTAAGCTTCTTCTATTAAGGTCGAGTTTGCGGAAACACTGAATTTTAGTCGCTAAAAGAGAAGAACAAACCAGTATTCAAGACTAGGCTCAGATGATTTATCCTCTTCTGACAATATGAAGTAAACGAAATCTTCATATCCCATCTTTCCTTCAACCTTACAGGTGAACTTTCTGGGAACCTTAACCAAATTCCAAATAAGCAATATTTAGAGAGATGAACACAGAAATTATTCAATCAGAGCAGGTAGTGTAGTTCTAATAAGAAAAAGGAAAACACAAACCTGAGAAAATATTCTATCAACAATCCTGTAGGTAAGTGCATGGTTACCATATCTGATGAGGTTCTCTTTGTCTATCAGAAAGTCATGATCGGTATCCAGCTCCCAGAATTTGCAATATATCACATAAAAATGTTCGTAAGAGAAGTACCTGTAATTAGAAGGCAAAAAAGAAGGGGGTGTACATAAATTTAAATAAATAAGATTAGTAAGGATACACATGGTATAGTAGTAAACGCAAGTACAGTGCAAAACAAAGAATATGGTAGTAAACGCAAGTACAGTGCACAATTAAATTACTTCGTACCAACAAGAACCAACTCTCACCAGGAGTGTTGGTACATGGTCTCACCTGTTAGAGGTGAGATTAATGGTTCCCTCCTGACTTTCCCCATGTAACAAATTCTAAGTCCAAAAGACAAAATCACGCCCATACAATTATGCTAGAAAATGTTATGCTATGTTTGTTTTGCTTTTCTAGACAATTATTCTAACACACTGCCGAAAATACATTTTTTCGAAACACACTGCCGAAGATACATTTTTTCTATAACACTACCCTGGAAACAACTGAACATAGCACCTAACATAGGGTTCATTTTCTACATAAAACATTTCAACGAAGTTAAAATTAGCTTCCGAAACAGCAAATATGCAGATTGTTCTCTTCCCCGAAAGCAAGCCTGGTCGATTACTTAACAATCCATTATATTGGACTCTCTTGTCTATAAGAAATAGCATAAGAATTATATCAAGATATGACGCTATTTATTACCATCAGTGACGAACAAGCAGTAAGTCTTCCACAGTAAAGCAGATTCTGCCATTACCTTAACACTTTGTTAATGTCCTCTTCTTCATCTGCATGTTGCATCGCAGCAATTAAATTTGAACGCTTCAGCTCCCTGAGGGTAAGATGACCATTACCCGATCTATTGACGTAGTAAAATATTCTGTATATTACAGTTTCAGCTGGAGAAAACAATGAATTGAACTGTTAATCCAACCAAAAAATATGGTTTCTTTTAAGTAGATAGCAAAAATTAAGTTTAACTTGAAACTCACTAGGTCAACAAAAGTTTCCTTCTAATAGTAAACTAACATAGTGCAAGACAGAGTAGAAGCAATCGGTATTGGTAAAACTACCAAAAGATCATGTTAAAAGATGTAGCTGTGCTTCAATCAACTGGGAATTTTCTTCCTAACTAATGCACAGAAAGCAATTAAAAGAATAAAGAAAGACAATTGCATACTGTACAGATCAAGATGTCAATCATTTAAGGTGATTTTGAGACTATGGTCATTCGTAAGCTGATTATTTCGTAAGTAAAAAGTGAAGAAAACAGCATAGGCTTAAGAAACCTGGAGACCTGTGAAAGATAGGGGGCATCAAAATTGAATAGGTGATTTATTCTTCATATTTTTAGAATTTGAAGGACTAGAACCGACATGAATATCAGAAAGTTACAGATTTTATACTCAACCACAGTACAAAGTAAGAAGAAAGGTGGCTCGGCATCAGAACTTCATAAATTTAAAGTGCCAACTAAGAGGATTGGGATCCTACATAGAGAGATGCATTATGCAATAATTTTTCAATTATTTATATAATATGTTAAAGCATTATAAACGGAACATTATTATATCACATTTGATATTAAAAGTTTCACTGTTCTGAATTTATTTCTAATATCTTTATGGGGAATACAGTAATACTACGAATCTGGTCATGTTTAAGGTATATTATTACAAACCTTTAATGATAAAATAGTATTATAGACCGACTTTATCCTACTTATAAATTGCATGGGCTATACATTCCCTTCTTCATAAATAGGTAAATCCTCTTATGCCTTCTGCAAGCATGAATATTTTGTCGTATGTGCCTAACTTTACCGAAAATACATCCAGGAGATTAGCAGAGAAATCAAAATCACATCAACTTGAGTCCGCCGGAATACAAAAGAAACATACAAGTTTAGAAATTACCATATCTCTCTTGAAATTCAGGCGTACTCTGTAAGAACTCCAACCCGGGATGAGTTGTCAAGAGTTCTCGAAGCACTGGTTTGAAGTCATCCTACATCAAGTAGATAATGATCCCAACAAAAGAAGCAAGATATTAGCACAACCAATAAACTCAATTTTCCACATTTATTGAAAAACAAAAGCACTAGTATTTGTTGGTCCTCATTTAACCTGAGCCAAGTACTTGACGTCCGGTTGCTTCAGAATTGTGTATATTTGGGTTGCTGTATCTTTCGTCAACATGTTTCCCTTGATCCAATAATCGACAAATGCATCCCTGTTCACATCTCATTGCATGAGTTAAAGAGTATATACATCAACTATTAGCAAAAGAATAAAAATCATGAATCGGCAACAATTATAAAAGCAAACCACCACAAACTTTTTTACATATGCATGCTGGGTTAAAAGGGTCCATAATGAATATATGGTTTTATCAAAAAGGAAAAATATAGGTTGACTTTAGCTAAGCAAGCTTTACTATCAGATTCGTGTCCCGTACTAAAATAGTGATTCTTTAGTGGCTGTGCCTTCCCATTCGACCTGTAATAAAGGATCCCATCGTGCACTCAGAAAACCATGGGACAGTTCAATGCAATTAAGCAATTTTAGAATCTAAGTAAGTTGGGACAGTTAAATACAATTAAGTTACAAATCCGCTTCGCTGAACATAACTTTATTTTGGCATTAAGTTGATCTATTATCTTGCACTCAGAAAACCATGGGACAGTTCAATGCAATTAAGCAATTTTAGAATCTAAGTAAGTTGGGACAGTTAAATACAATTAAGTTACAAATCCGCTTCGCTGAACATAACTTTATTTTGGCATTAAGTTGATCTATTATCTTGCATGTGCATGTACGAGGAAAGGAAGGATAACTTTTAGAATCAAATGGCGAGAATTACAATTTGAAAGAGAAATGACAAAGAAGATCAGATCAATTACCTAGTCACAGTTCCCGTGCCATCAACGTCAATTTTTCTAAAAATTGCAGTTGAGAAAAACGATGGTAGCTTGCAGATTTCCTTCGTCACCGGTTTGAATTCTGAATTCCAATCAAATGTAAGCATACAAACACAGCCACTATTGACAGGTGATATGTTCAAACTCATATTGCAAGTTCCAGATGGATCATAGGTAAGAGAGTAACAAGACGCAAGCATAAATGCATTTTTAGACATTATTGACACATTGATCTGTTCCTATCCCATATTGCAAGTTCTAGATACACCAGAAGATACAAAGTAACAAACAAAAGTGTCAACAATAAAAATCATGAGTATAACTAATCTCACCGTTGATTTGGAGCCCATCCACGTGGCCATAAAAAAATTGATTGATTCTTAACACGCACCGATCTTCCAAATCGTTTGGCGGTGGACGGCCATTTAGGAAATAGAACTGCAGTTGTCAAGTATCATGAAGATGTTAATAGTTACTTCCAAAACAAAGAAAAAACAGGTTGGAAAGAAATATAAAATGAAACAATATCAAAAAAATTAACTAATTGAACCTGAGGTATAAGCTCCTTTGCAGGCTCATTCACTGTTTTCAAGGACGAACCTAAAGCAGAGGGACCTGCCCTTTGTTTCATGATCCGAGGTGAACCTGATGAGCTTCTCGGTGAAAGTGGTGGCGTACTGACAGCGGGAAACATTGAAGGTAATGTATTGCTTGCTGCAGCACCTGCGCTAGATGATGTTCCAGAGACATTCAACGAACCTCCTCCCTTGGCATTATTAAGCAAGGATTTCACCTGAAATTCAGAGGTGGATCTTTGTAAATAAATTTAATCCAATTCGACTATAAGGGTAAATATACAGGACCAGCTTGCATATCAGCAAAATGCTTCTACTCGCAATTTTCAAATTCCAAAGGCCCAAAGTACTAAATTAAACTGTATTGCAGATTTTGCAATTGGTATGACAGATTTGCGAATGTAAGTGAAATTATATCAGAAAACAGTTATATAACATTTGGAGAATGTAAAGGTGTGCCAGCTGCATCAGCAAAAAGTAATGGCTGGTTGAATTATGACCGGACTAACTTATAGAACTACAGAAAAGAGAGATTCCAATAGCCCGCTATTCTAGAAAAAAAATTATGAACAGATCAGCATAATAGTAGGAAAATCCCTGAGCAGAAAGCAAATTCACAAAACAGCGACCTGCAAACTTCCCAATATTACATTCCTTGGACTCTGGTGGGATAATCAACCTAAAGACAGAAAAGCAGGGCTCCTCCCTTTATTTAGCACAAAAAGGAACCAGGAGAATAGATCAAACCTTTCATGGCCATACTCTCAGCATACCTCTTTTGCTGATAGTTAGAGAAATAAATGAGTACAAGTGTAGAACCTTCTATAAAATATTAAAAATAACATTTATAATGGTAGACTGGAAGATTCAAGTAAGTGCTTCTGCTGAGCTTTCCTATCCTCTTTTCCTATGACAAAAGGAATCGGGTATTTGAAATTATCGACCAGACTACCACTTGTATAGTGGTTTTAACTTTTAACCCTTCCCAGCCACTTTTTGTTATACTCTGAAAACTCTAATACATATCTGCCTTGTGAGAGCCATCACAACGCATATATTAACACATATAGCAGAAGCAAATGATTACATAGCTCAAAATCAGACCAATCGTTTAAATGTTAATATTTACGTATTTTTTAAAACGTTACTTTTTGGGGTACCATATAACAGTCTTTTAAAGCAGAATGTATTGAATTTAATCGTATTTGGAATACAAAGCTGCGGCTTGCTTTAGTAGGGTTGCCTAGTATGTAAACAAGAAATGGCGAAACTAAGAAAGGTAAGTAATGGCCTAAGTAAAGAAGAGAAGATTAGCTTTAATAATCAATTAAGGAACCTTATTCAATAATCAGATCTTAACGCAAACCATTTATTTCAACTAATTAAGTTTCAGTTAAAAGTTAGCATCCAATAGGATAAAAGATGCAACAGTATAAATGAAATCATATGGTGACTAATAAGATTGATTAAAATCTAATAACATGGCAATTTTGATCATCACTACTACGAACAAGCAACCTATTTAAACAAATGCATCAATGGATGTGCTACTGGCGTTAACACAAATATCCATAATTCCTTGATCACAATAGGAATAGCGGACAACAATAATTATGATGTTTTTGTCCAGGTATTAATCCACTTGGACGACCATTCAACCTCACGAAATACAACCTTTAGTCAACATGCAAATGGAATCTTTCAGAAACAAGAAGAAAAGTATAAAAGAAAAATCAGCCTAACACGGATATTCCAAAGTCTCACAAATATGTAAACAGCCAAATTTTATATTTGGTGTTCCCTTGACATCTCTGGAATCTGGGGAAGACTAATAATTTAGAACCCGGGGACACATTAACTTTCACTGTCACCATTTTGAAGTTTTCAATTGATGGAAAAATATAAGGAATCAAAAGTTAAACCATGAGTCCCACAGGCCAGTACATGAAAGTTTTGTGGTTTCAAATATTTAGACAAAAGGTAAGTAAAGGAATATAAAACTTAACTTAAAACCAACAAAAAAAAAACAGTTGGGAAACTATAAAACCACTAATATATCTCCTGCAGGCTACAAGTAACCATTTGGGAGGTTGTGACATTGACCACTATATAACTGCATACTTTTAATTTATAATTTTTATTTGTTTTCTTATGAGAGTTTCATCTTCCGGAGCAAAGCAAGGAAAAGGACGAAAATTACAACTGGACCCTCTCAAGTTCCAAGATGTAAATAATCAATTTTAATAATTTACATTATTCCATCTCTACAATTCAGCTTAACAAACTTACAATTATTGAATCAATATGGCAGTTATGCAAAACATAAAACACTTACGTGTCAATCATCAATTCTGCTTAAGCTCCATTTTACGGGAAATGGGGTCAAATACAACTATGAAACTAAAGGTAGGATAAGCTTTTAGTGAGTCTAAGAAGGCATGAACCTTCAAAGTCTATTTGGCAATCTCAACCAATTACACCTAGCTACAGAGACATGTCTGAATAAATACTCATGCACCGAGATATATTATTTGTGATACTCAATTTTAGCTCCCTAACTGCCAAAAAAAAATGTTTGTGCTATTTTGGCACGTCGGACTTAGTTAAATTAGAAACTTATGTTTATCTCGAGAATTTCCTCGCATTTAATCAGTATCGGGGATCACTAGGCTTGGAGACCAGACTAAATAACTCTAGCAATAGATTATTATGATCCAGAGTGTTGAATTTGAATCTCGATGGAGTTCTATGACCAACTTATGATGCACATGCTGCATGTCATCACTTCTAATCTAAATTAAAAATCCATGTAGACCAGTAAGTTACGTCCCGGCTTCTCTTTTGACCCAGCATACAAGTTAAATTCTTCAGAATATTTTGTCCATCGTCATAATCTAGCTAAGGGACTCAACTGCGGAATCACGGACCTCTTACATAATGGAGTGCAAATACCCACTTTCACTATTCCCTTCACTTATAGAATGCCACATGTTTATCATTTCCGCATATTCAGCAAGTCCAGTTACCTCAATTCTATGGGAAAAAGAGATCCTCAGAAAATGCACAGACAACGAAAATTTATATTTTCCAAAATGCATCAGAGCAGAACAAGAAACCGCACTACTGTATTTCATTTTTCTCTTGTTCGCAATCTTACCCGGGTAGACCAACGTATGAAAATGGGATTGCATGTAATACAATATCCTCCATCTTACACATTTATCAATCACCCCCGATGCAGTAAAGTAACCTAATCTAACCAACAAATCAAACACGCACACACACACACACACGCAACCCCAATCATGAACAATCGTCACCAGGCTGTAACATGAAGAAAAAAAATTGCAGAAAAATAATAATTACCAAAGAATTAGTTTCGGGAAGGGATAGCCACTGATCAAAAAGCTTCTCCGCCACGAAGGGATTGTCCTTGATGGCCAAAGGGGAAACCTCCGGCAGCTGCAAGAGTTCGGCATCGAGGCTCGCCACGTCGCCATTGAAATCCAAATCCATAACTCTCTCTTCAAAAATTCCTCACAATTACAATATCGCTCACAGCCCTCGGATCTTCAAACGCTTCCTTGAACATCAAACAGAACCCTAGAATGGCCAGCTCCGGGCGGGAGTTTCTCCTCCACACAGATCTTCGTAGATTTGGAATCTGCGATGCATAAAATAATCCAGATGTCCGCAGCTATTTCATGCGCGGCAAGCCCTAAAATGATGTTGGACGGAGATCGGAGGGACGGAATTTACAGGGAGATTGCAAACCCTTGGAGCAGAAAAGCGGTGTGTATGCGCGAGATAGAGAGAGAGAGAGAGGAGAGAGAGATAGAGGGGAAGTAGCACTAGTGATGATAATAATATTAATTAATTTAACTAACAATTATATGATTATTATTGACACCTGAAATCAAACTTTACCCCAAATCAAATCTGGGCGAGTGTGGAACCTCCGCGTGATTGTCACTCGACACTTTTTCATGGTTTTCTATTATTTATTTTTATTTTACAAAAAAAATATCATTTTGTAGATTTAGTTTCAAATTCGATAAAGATTTTCCGTTTTAAACTTTTAAATATCAATTTTCAAAAGTTCACTTATGGTTTAATTAGCTTTCCAAATTTTATGTCAATATTTGGCTAAATTCCACTTTGCACCCTTGAAATGTAATATTTTGGCAGTTTGCACCCATAAAGAAATTAATAGCAATTTACACCCTCAAAACACAATAAATCATTCGCAAAATGCACCTTGAATTGAATATTTGAAATTTTAACGAGAGTAACTTCATTTTTTATTGGTTTTTTTATTTCCAGAGTGCAAAATAACAAGTAAAATTATTATTTTCTTATACCTTCAACATAACTTTGAGTGTATAAAATGCGGAAAAACATAAATCGCATCGATCACTAAAAATTAATTTCATTTTCTTACAAAATAATAAGTTATCACTAAATTATTTGATTGATGAATCTTTCGTTATAATAAGTGAGCATAATTGTAGAAATCTTTGAACAAATATATATTTCTAAATAACTTAATGAACAAATAGTTGAAAGGTTTTTTTTCTTTTTGTTCTTTTATGTTATTTGCAAAATAATTTTTTTGTGATTTTTTTTTAATATGTTGATGAGATGTATTTTTATCTATGTATTTTGTAGTTTCAAAATGATTGATGAATATAAAAGAAAAAAATTGACATCTGACATCCTAAAATAATACTATTAGAAATATTAAATGACCTTCATTACTTTAAAAATTGTGCATTATGCATGATTTATTGTGTTTCGATAGTGCAAAGGGCTATTAATTTTTTCGGGGATACAAAGTGGGATTAAGCTTCATAAGTTTAATCTTGATTTTGTTAATATACTCAATTATCAAAAGTTAAACGATTTTAGTATAATAATTTTTAAATGATTGATCACATTGAAACTAAGTGTATGTGTGTGTATGCGCGAGTATATACACACCTTTATAATGTAGTATTTTGACACTTTGCACTAAAAAAAAAAAAAAAAAAGAATAGCATTTGTATACTCTTAATAAAATTTATTACTTACACACATTTATACCCGAATTGATTTTTTATTTTTTTTTTAATAATTATGATAATTTCATATTTGTGGAGGCATTTTTATCATGGAGCACAATGTCAGCACAAAAAAAATATTTTTTCACCCACTTACCACGATTTCAACGCTGCGAAATGTATAAGTGATTTGGTGAGGAAATATGTATTTTCGAGTAATGTAGTAGAAATTTTAAAATATATATTCCATTAGTACGTTCGAAATTAGGTTGAGGATCGAAGAAAATATTGTTTTGATTTCGTATTTTCACCATGAAAAATACCATTAAAAGTCAAATTTGCCCTGATTAACTTAAATAAAATAATTAGAAAACCTTGTGAATTCTCTATTATGTTTTGAGGATGCAAAATGTTATTATTATTTTTTACGGGTGCAAAGTGCCAAAAATCTCCATTTTAAGGGTGCAAAGTGGGATTAAACCTATAATAAAGTGTCAAAAAATTATGGGGGTATTTAGGTCAATTTTTGAAGAATGTCTAAAAAGTAATAGGAAAAGTAAACACTAATTAACCATAATCATATTTCGTATTACAGTTCAATGTTAAACATCATTAGTTGCGCCACCGTCTCCTCTCGCCGCGCACCTCCGCCGAATTCGACACGCGCAACCAGCAATTCACCACATGCTTTCTACAGATGCAATTCACCACCACCTTGCTTTCTCATTTAATTGGTAAGTGGCGATTCTTTATCCCCTTTTCATATACCGCGTCGTGATATTCGAGCTCTCAAATTTTATCGAATTCGGTTAGGGTTCAATTAGGGAGAAGACGATTGAATCATGATCCTTTATTTTCGCAGATACGCCGTAATTGGACGAGGAATTGTGGCGAGTATGATACTGCAGCCATGAGTGAAGTTATACATTCCAGCTTCCTTTTTGACAACTAGGGTTATTTGTGGGCCTTGTGGCTGAAAGCATACGCCTCTGCAATGAATGAAGCTACTATCGATCCGTCAAATCTTCTCTGCCACCTGGAAGATATCCTGGATTCCGACCCTCACATGTAAATAATTACCGATATCAATCTTTTTTTTTTTTCGTATTATGTATTAATGCCTAAACCAGTTAGTTGATGATATTTTATTAGACATTTTGAAATTGGTGTGTTTACCGAATGGATTTAGTTCTAATGTTCACAGTCGTTAATCCAGATGATATCTGTATGCGCTTTACTTACGTCACTTGATTAGTAGAATTGGTAGACGCGGTTTATTTTTTTACCTTTAGTGTGAGTAATTTCTTCTGCTTATATGTTGTAAACACAGTGATGAAGTGGGGTTTATTCATCCAATGCAGTTTGCTGCGTTCAACGAAGAGGACCATAGTGGATCTGGAACTCATCTGACAGATGAAATTACTCGAAAACCAGTAAGAGACAGTAGTTCTCATACTTTCTTTTGGCATAGCAAACATAAGCTGGGTATCTCTACCATTGTCCTACTTCCGTTGTATAGAGCGGCTAAAGATGCATTCTTAGATGCTTATAAAGGATACAGAATGTTGAGAGATTCTCAACTAAAGAAGGATGAATCGCTAGAGAACAGTGCGTTAACGTGTTTGCCATCTTTACTGGATACAATGGAAAAGGAAGTTATGAGACATAGCAAGGCACTTCTTCTACTGAGCTGCGATTTTGGCACCGCATGGAATGCCAGGTAGCACTCCTCTTCAGTTTTATCCTACGTTTTAAGTTCTCCCAGTAACTGTGGTAGTGATGGTATTTGTTCTGGCATTTTTTTATCTACCCATTAGGATCACTAGCAACTAGGTCGAAGGCCAAGTTTGGTCTTTGGAAGTGATTAATAAGTGTTCAGACAGTTTTTGGTGTATATTGATTTGTAGTATCAAGACTTGAATTATTTTCTTCAGAGAAGTGTCCAACGTGTCTATGGCCATTTGAAAGTTCTGTCTCAGTTTATTCTATTATCGGTGTACGGAATTACCTTTGGTATTTAAAAAACCTATTCTGAGCTGATATGCAGTTTCACAAATTTCTGAACTCAAGACAAGAGCTCATTCTGCATATACCTTTCCAATTTATACTCCTGAGTCGGTGGTCTGCTGCTTAAGAACAGAGTTGATTTTTAATATTATCTTTGTTTTATAGGACATCTTATCAATAGACTACAACTTGATAGTGGTGTAGACTCATCTTGTACGATTTCCTCTTGTAGGAAGTTAATTGTGTCAAGGAAGCTGCTCTCACCAATGTTTACGGATGAACTGCTTTTATCAGCTTTAGTTTTATCCTATTCACCAAAAAGTGAACGTGCCTGGAGCCACAGGTAGTATTTGTTATCACGCCCCCAGTTAGTCTCTGCACCATAGATATGAGTATTTATGTAGTTTACATTGTTTGTGGAGCCTCCTTCTTAATGATGTTCACATGGAATAGGAGATGGGTAATCAAGATGATAGCTGGAAAAAGTGCAAATATGCAAGAGATAGTGGAAAGAGAATCCGAGTTAGTGAAAACCCTAGCAGAGGTTTTATTCTGGTCCATGATGTCTCGCATATACATTTTTTTTAATCATCATTACAATTTATACTTGGTTGTCTACTGCGTTGAGACTTATTTGTAACCATTCATTCTATTTTATTTAACATTCGAGTTTCCATCGTGTAAGAAGATACTTCAATTTTTTAGGAAAAGAAAATTTGCAAGTCATAAGCTTACAGCTACAATTTGATCTAGTTGTAGTTTGACCTGTGTATATGCAGTTTGTTGTAGATTAGCTTCGCTAGCTATTAGACTGCTGAGTCTGTTAATTTGAATATGTTGCCCAGGTGAGAAACAATGTCAAGATGTTCAACGTATTTGGTATTATCACTTGGATCCCGAAATTTTGGTATTTTCAGACTGCCGATTCCACCACGCAGCTAGGGATTGGTAGGTCAATTTGCTACTTTTAGGGACAACTTCACCTTTTAACACAAGATTATAATTTCTCTTCCTTGACGCAATCATCTCTTTGCAATAATAATAAGGAGAAGTGATATTATTCAACCTTCATCAAAATCCCCATCCTTCTAACAACTATATTTGACAAGCTGTTCTTCTATCCAGTGTAGTAGAATTTCTTTGGAAGTCTAAAATCAAAAGAAGGGTTTCCCCCGTAAAATTAGAAAAATATTGGTTAAATAGATGTGTCATTGGATTTTCAGTCAAAATTTCATAATCTGATCCATAAGTAATGGATACTTTGACCTAGATGATCATGCATGGACTCAAATTTTTGAAACTGAATACCAGTATATATTCTTTTCATTTTGTTGCAGAACTCTAAAATGAATTACCGTGCTTGGAGTCACCGCTGCTGGTTAGTTTCGTACATGTCAGATTCACAGGTCAGATTAAAGTTAGAGCATGTATATCTGTTTTTCTTTTGGCTTTTAATCCAACTGCATTTCCTATATGCTGGAGGAATAGCCATTGATTACACAAACTGCAATGCTGCTTATTATATTGGCTAGCCATAATTTTCCTTCCTTTCCCACCTTTGTCTTAAGATAATTGTTCATTTTAATTCCTTTCACATTCCTTTGTTGTCCCAGTTTAGGTTTAGTTTCCCCTATGTTCTACATGCAGTATACAATACATTATGCATGTTTTTGGGTAATGGCTTCCACAATTGCATACTTCGTTTTGGTGAGTGAATTTTTGTGTTTCATCAGGTGCTACTTGAGTTGCAAAGTTCTCGAGACTGGGCTGGGCTTCATGTTGCTGATAACTCTTGTTTCCATTACCGATCTGTAAGTTTCAAACTCGGTGTAGTTGACATATTTACCATTCTTAACAGACTTTGTAATCAAAAGAGGCAGGATTATGATTACCTTTAATATTTTTTGTTAGTTTTAGGATATTGTGGCTGCTGATGTTTTTATTGCTGCAGTGCTCCAAAAAGGAAAAGATATTGAAAAGTAGATTAAAAGAATGAAGCACAAGAATGTAATTCAACTGATATATGTAGTTAGGCGGATTTTTGTTGGCCCTTTCAGAAACTAAATAAGTCACGTGACTAGGCTCTTATACTGTACAGTCACTATAAATACCCCTAAAAATGCAACCAATCGTCGCATTGGGGAATATTTTACCAATATCCCACATAATCACCCTAACCAAACATAAAACACGCTCCCACGGTATAATAATTGAAATATATATGGCGAAATGATGGCAATGAGTCTTCCACATGGCTTCTTTTTGTATCTTATCAACTGCCAATGGAAAAAGAGTAAAATAGAAGAATTGCTTATCCTTTGGTAATATTTTCTGCATTCTTACAGTAATATAATTTAATGTCATGTATAATGTCAGCGCTTACTACTCCGGATGATAGAGAATTTACGGCATAACAATGATTCAGATGGTTTCTCAGGTGCAGAATTTCATCAGAAGTGGAAGGTTTTGTCTTTCATTTCTTTATTTTTTTATTTATTTATAAAGTGAGGCCATCTGCAATCAGAATTTGTTTCCATGAAATTATTCGTACTGTATTCAATTCAGAAATTGTTCGTTTGTTTTTTGGTGAGGATTTTTTTTCCCACAATACTGATCTGGCTAAAAATGTGAGAAGTTGGTTTCTTCATATGCCTATCTGGTAGGTGCAAGTTTTTCAAAAAGAGAGGCATAAGCTTTATATTTTGAACGATTTCTTGCTAATCTTATCAACAATTTGTTATGTTGATTGATAAATGTGAAATTTAATAATGTACGGTATTTTCAATATCAAGAAAATAATTGAAGTGAAATTTGGTTCTATATGTTACTCAATAGAAGCTCTGCAACCTATATTTAAAGGTTATTTATCTTCCATTCTGTAATATCTTAAACCTGATTTTCTCTAATATGGGGCAATTGATGTATGGCAGGAGGAGCTAGACTGGGTTGGGATGTTAATAAAACGTTATGTCGGAAGAGAGGTATGCCCTCACTTTCTGATGCATGTTACTTCACAAAATACGAGAATTCAGAATCTTGGATTAATATAGTTTATATAAAAAAATATAAAAAAATAAAATAAATCGTAATTAATGTCACTGGTCAATATAGAGTGTATGATTTTGACCATTTAACATGTTTTTATCAAGGCTTTATGGCTTCACCGTCGCTTCCTCTCACTTGTATGGATGAAACATTTAGCAATTGATGATCAATGTGGCTTTATTAAAGATGAAATAACGCTATCCCAATCATCGACAATCATACCTGATAACGATTACGGGGACTATCAAGCACAAGCAACCTATTCCGCTACCTACATCATGTGGCTTGCAAAGGTAATTAAATTTAATTTCGTCACAGTTCTTGCCGTTAAAACTAATTTTCTTCGATCATTTAATTAGTTTTCCTTAATTTTCTATATATACGTTTCTTTAGCAAATGCCCATGTCTTTTGGCGTTGAGCTTCGAAAAAGTTCACATTACGAGGCGCTCAAACTATTTGCTGGTAATGTCGGAAAAAGCTGCCTTTGGGATTCTACGACTTCGATAATTGAAATATGCGACGACAGGTGAGTTAGAAGCAGCTTCTTACACGAGCCTGGTAAACCTTTTATACCTTCTTAGTTGCGAAATAAAAACCATTACATTGCAAATTTGATTATATGGTCATAGTGGAGAATATGTGTTGAAGTTTGTTTATATCAGATGTAATAATATATTCAACAGTCATGCAAAAATTGATTAAGGCCTCGTTTGGTTGGAGAGATTAGCCATGATTTGATGTTTGATATCTCAAATAACTTGTCCGATCGACACGCAAATTAATTTTATCTTGGCAACCAAACGAGGCATGAGTTTAGTATTTGCAATGTAACAAAGACGCGAAAACTATCCAAGAGACCCACCAAGATTCCTACTGGGTCTAAAGTGGATCCATCCATATCCCAATATTAGGTTGTTCCATTTATTTATTTATTTATTTATTTTATTTTTTAACTCTCTAGTTAGATACTGGCTTTAGATGCTAGATGCTTTTTTTTTCTTTTCTTTTTTGTCAGTATTCTTTAATCAGCTACTGATTTTAGTACTGTTAAATTCTTTTATCCTCAAACTCATTTGTCAATCTTAATTGATCAAAGTACTAACTAATTTATTTAATAATAATAAAAAATCTATAGCATTATTTAGTAAAATATATACTCCAAAACAAAATTATAGCATTAATTAGTAAATTACAATTGACAGGCAACTTAACATCTACAGAAAAAATGAGAGAAACACCATTTACTCAAACGAGGACGGCTTGAAAATATCAGACTAATCTAAAACAAAATAAAATATAGTTCTATTTAATTAATTATTATAAATAAATTTCCTAATCATAGACAAGACCTAACTAGATATTTGAGTCTCCGCTAGCAGCGGTGCATCATTAAATATCTCAACCCACACCTCGCCGCCCCCCCCCTTAATAAATAAAAAAGAGAAAAAAAAAAGGTAGTATGGATTATCTTAAGATTGATGTGGGCCTTACATTTTAACAACTCGCTAGCAGTGGTGAAGCCGGTATATGACCAAAGGGGGCTAACAATCTCGATTCTATATTTTCTTTTTATGTAAAAGTTTAAAATTCATGTATAATTAGCATAATCGGCCCTCTCTCATAATAGTTTTAATACATTCGGCCTCCAAGAACATAAAATTCAGACTCTGTTAGTGCAGTCGTAGGTATCTTTCTTCGACCTATGGCATTTACAAAAACAGAAGTTAGTGACAGTTATAGTTAACTGTGTATCAAATAGTGAATTTAAAAAGTTGATTGATTGCAAATATTCCGAAAATGAACTTAAATAAAAAAATACAGATTTATGGGTGTTTTTATAAAAAAACTAGCTTAAAACAACTTATTTTGAGCTTTTACAAACACCACCTTAATATAAAGATTAAATTAAATTCATAATAAATGAGAAATAAAAGCCTTGCCGATAATAATTATTGTATTGTACAAATAGAATAAAAAAGTTCAAAGGACAAAAAAATACATAAAGTCCTTACACTACGCGTCACGCCTCTCTCAAAAAGCAAAATAACTCCTCCTTTATTAATCAACTAACCACCACAACGTAATTCCTATCTACTAAAAAATTAAAACTATATTCTAAATTTCTCAAAAATAAAACAATTGCCATAAATCTTTTTTAATTAATTCATCTTTAATTTTCTGTTAACTGTGATACAAAAAAACATATTACAAACGTGCAAAAAATAGTAAAAACAAATAAGAGAAAAATTGGTCGTGGGCACATTGCTTAGATAACAAAGCAAGCCTGCTGTTACTGTACAGTGAGTACTATCTTCGTATAATGTATGTATGTATGTATTTTGCATTCATTTCTTTTTTCTACGTACCCAAAAAAATAAATTAAAAAAAATCAAATGGGTTCCCATGGTTTTTAGAAATTAGGGTTTCTATTTTTTCTTCTTTCTGATGAATTTTATTTTGCTGTGTTAATATTTGGATAGATCGATTATTTTTTCCTTTTTTTTTAATCTATCAAGATATTGGAAGTTTCTCCTTATCCACACAACTTTGATTAGAATTCGAACGAGGCCCAGACGGATTAAATCTGGATAATGATCATTAACAACAGTGATAATAATAAGGTTTATATCTCAATCTGGATTTGTGTTTTTCAGAATTTTATTAAATAATTATGTATGATTTTTTTTGTTTTTTGGAACTTTTCAACTGGCTGCTATCTTCTGTGGCTAAAAAGTCAATTGATGGTGGAAAATTAGGGTTAGGGTTAGATCTGCTGGAAGATGTTGTTATTCACCCCCTTTTTTTTTTTAATATATTTTGATTTAATTGCATGTTTGTGTTAACTACGATCTGTTTCATTTAAGTTGTTTCTGAATCGCCTTTTCATTTCTGGAAAATTGGGAGCAGGAATTTTGGCAGTCTCAGCAGCAGCAATAGATCAAAAGGGGGATTTTGTCCTTGAGTCAGAATATGTAAGTTTATTTTTTTATTTTTATTTTTATTTTTATTTTTAGATCTAAATTGTCTTTTGTGATCTGTACTATTTTCTCAGTCATTAGCAAATGTTCAGTCTAATCACAGAAGCTTATGCCCTTTTTTTTTTGTTTGAATTATGAGAAATAAATAAAATTATTTTAGGTTACTCAATTAGTACATAATATGATATTTACGGCGTATTATTTTACGATTATATGAAATTCAACGATAAGTGCTGTTGTAAGAGCCTAATTTAGAGTAGCAAGATATTTGTCCAGCTGAAATAAACTTAATTAACCGTAGACTGATAATTGGAGTTTTGACCATATTGCTAGACTGAGGGAGAGAATGAGCAATTGTGTACTGTAACTTTCGGGGTTGATTTCTGATTGTGTGTTAGCTATGAGTTCAGATTGGACTGATTTTGATAAAAAAAAAAAGGAATCAACATGTAATAGTGGAGAATCCTCTGCTTAAGCAAGTGAGAGTTTAATTTAGCACTTATTTTTCATTAGGGAACAATCCATTCAGTTCTGCAGAATTGCTGACCAGGTGAATAAAATGGAAAATTAGTGTGTTGCTTGTGTTGGAGTATGATTTGGGGATGGGTTAGTCATGTTTCGTAGTTGAGAGGAAATATTTATGTGGTCTTTGATTTGAGCATTTGGGTGTGGCAAACAATGTGTTATGCGACCTACTATTTTCATGTTTAGGTTGCTTGTCGAGGATGAAATACCGATTCCTCTGAATCTGTTTTTGTTCAGTTCTGTTTCTTTCTGCTTATATATTTTTCCCTTCGTCGCTATTCCAATGTCCATACACGTTCACAGCCTTACCTTCATAGTTTTGAATCATACAAGACATATTGGTGTTTAACTTTCTTTGGGTTATGAAGTTGTGTTACATGTCTAAACTATTTAAAGCAACAATTGAAGATGCAGTCAAACTTTTATGCAACGATTGAAGACCCAGCACGATTTTGAATAAGTTCTATTGAAACTTTATTAATCAACTCAGCTTTGGACATTGAGTACAGTTGATTTTGTTGCGATTAGGGTTCTGCAGCCTCATATATTTTTTCAGTCAGATGATTTGCTTCTAGTAATTTCTTTTGCTCCTTGTATTTAGTAGCATTAAGTCATTTTACTTGCATGCTTTTGGGATAAAGTATTTCTTTCACCTATTTATTTTTACTTCATTTGGTGTTTTGCAGTGGTAATGGGCACAGAACTTGTTGGACCTTGTATGAAAGAGGATAGCATGGAAATTCCCTCAATTCCTCCAGGTTTCGAGTCATTTGTGCCCTTCACTGTGAAGAGAGCAGAGGATAATCAAGTTGGCAGTTACTCAAGCTCTGCCAGGGTTGTTGAATCACAAACAGTCAAGTTAGAAACCGAGTTTGACTGTAATAATGATGACTCACAAACCATGAAGACCCTCAGGCGTAGGCCTGGGGTAAAGTATAGCCAGGTCGATAATAGTTCTTGCGATGAAAACGAGTCTGAGCAGGTTGATCAACTATAGTTCAATTTACGTTTGCATTTTCTCTTTCCATGAAAGTATATTTTAAGTAATTATTTTCTTATATTTTCTACACTTGCAGCATATGTTTTTGAGACACCAACTCCCGAAAGGTGTTATTCGTGGGTGCGAAGCTTGTAGCAATTGTCAGAAGGCAAGTCGTCCAAAACTAGTCAGACTTTTCAAGTACCCCAAAAAAACAAAGAGAAGAAAATTATCTGAGATGCATGTACTTTTACACACAACTGTGCGAACATATGGTCCGATGTATTACTCTCATATCTTAAATATCACTAAGCTTGTATATACCATCACTATATAGCTTAAGATTAAGAATGTTCGTATGTAAAAACCAACTTTTTAAACTGAGGGTTAATAGGTTGATCACTAGATGGTGATTGTTCAAGTTCTATAGTGGCTGGGCAGTTGGATACTGTTGGTAGTTTTATGTGCTAAACCTTTAAAATATGCTTGGAATATGTAACAGGTAAATGCAAAATGGCGTATAGAAGAAGCTCGAAGGCCTGATCTCAAAGAAGTTCCTGTATTTTATCCTTCTGAAGAGGTATTTATTGTTGATTTGATGTTTCTGTTGGAGCTCAATTTGAATTTATTTCTTTTAAAGCAATTATATTAATGTTAGTTTCATGGATATTTCTTACTACTAGGAGTTTGAGGACACTTTAAAATACATTTCAAGTATACGGGCAAAAGCGGAAATGTACGGGATTTGCCGCATAGTACCACCTCCTTCATGGAAACCTCCTTGCCCTTTAAAGGAAAGGAATATATGGGAGAGCTCGAAGTTCACCACTCGTATCCAGCGGATTGACAGACTTCAAAATCGGAGGTCAATGAGAAAGATCTTGCAAGCCAATCCATACAAGAGGAGGAAAAAGAGAAGATGCATGAAAAATGGAGTTGATATTGAAAATACTAATGAGGAAAGCATAATTCCAGGTGAAGCTGGACTGTACGAGGCTGAGAGATTTGGCTTTGAGGCTGGTCCAGAGTTTACTCTGGATTCATTTCAGAAATATGCTGATGAGTTCAAGGCCCAGTATTTCTGTAAAAATAATAATATTTCAGAATCAGGAGGTAATAGAGCAATGCTCGAGGAGCAGTGGCAGCCTTCAGTAGAGAATATTGAGGGAGAATATTGGCGAATGGTGGAGAAACCAACAGAAGAAATTGAGGTAAGGCAAAAACATTAACCCCTTGTCCATTGTACTTGTTTAAACTGTAATGTCATGTGACACTTTATCTGTGGTTCTAACTTTTAGTTGCACGTCTTACTTTCCAGGTCCTTTATGGGGCTGATTTGGAAACCGGAGTTTTTGGGAGTGGCTTTCCTAGAGATGCTCAGCAAGCTCGTTCAGCTTCTGATATGAAGTACATTAACTCGGGATGGAACTTAAATAACTTTCCTCGTCTCCCTGGTTCTGTTCTCTCATTTGAAAGCAGTGATATATCTGGTGTTCTAGTTCCTTGGCTGTATATAGGAATGTGCTTTTCCTCATTTTGCTGGGTAAGGATATCATTCTCGTTGTATATGGTCCTAGGCAGTGCCTGTCTAAAAATAGTACCAAAATTAATAATTCTAAGATCTGGGTGCATCCTACTTCTGAATAAAATATGATTTTTTGCATAAAACAAGTATGCATTATAATACTTGTGCTCTTCGTTTGCTTTTACTGTATTTTCACTGGATATTTTTGGTTTGTTTCTTCCTCGGTGACTACTCTCACCTACGAATATCTAAATTGGGATTAAACTTTAGCACAAATGATTCCTTTAATTTTCCATGACCAATAACAAGTTGTCAAGCCAGTTGTACTTGAAATTATTAATTTTTTTTACGTATATCTTTTTATATAATTATTTTTTCCCATTTCCTTGCTGTGCTACAGTATGAGCTGGTGTTTCTGACATTTTCCATATCCATTGCTCATATATTTGTATTTGTATCAGCATGTTGAGGATCACCACTTATACTCGTTAAATTACATGCATTGGGGAGCTCCAAAAATGTGGTATGGTGTTCCAGGATCTGATGCCTTGAAACTGGAGGCTGCTATGAGGAAACATCTTCCCGACCTCTTTGAAGAACAGCCAGACTTGCTTCATAATCTGGTAAACACTATTATCGTGTTATGACTTTCAGGGTTGAGAATTAAGGAATACAGTATAATCGAGGCAACCTTTTGCCAGAGTTAGTTTGCTTCAAAGACATACTGCGACAATTAGTGATCGGCATGATTTAAATTTTAATAGATGCAGGGTGGTGAATATGTCGATTTTTTATATTGCGTCCATTAGTGACTGGCATGGTTTAATATAACACAGCTGTGATCAGGAACCTACTTATTAGTGATAAGCACTTTTCTCATTTCAGGAAAGCATGAAATGAACCTGTACACAGTAACAAAAGTTAACAGCATGCAACCATGAATGAGTTTTGATATTCGTTTCCTCTTTGCATTTCTTGATGTTGGTTATGATGGTAGAACTCTTGGAATAAAAGTTTACTGTTTTCAGGAAGATGGAACATTAGCCATTTTAAACCATTTTACGGTTGATTGGTTTGATGCAGAAGTTTGAAGTCTAATTTATATCTTAACTAATATGCAGGTCACTCAACTTTCCCCCTCAATTCTAAGATCCGAGGGAGTGCCTGTTTATCGTTGTGTTCAGAATCCTGGAGAGTTTGTTCTGACTTTCCCTCGAGCATATCATGCTGGATTCAACTGCGGTTTTAATTGCGCTGAAGCAGTTAATGTTGCTCCTGTTGACTGGTTGCCGCATGGACAGAATGCTATTGAGCTTTATCGTGAGCAAGGCCGAAAAACATCCATTTCACATGATAAATTGTTGCTTGGTGCAGCCAGGGAAGCTGTGAAAGCAAATTGGGAATATAATTTATTAAGAAAGTCTACTACAGATAATTTGAGATGGAAAGATGTTTGTGGAAAGGATGGAGTCTTATCCAAAGCATTCAAGGTATTTATCAAATTAATTAATTAATTTATTTATAAATAATTATTATCTATTAATCTATAAATATTGCATATTTTGATTATCGTCTTATTAAGAAGTCTCCATATTATGTTTTGGCTAGACCCGGGTGGAGATGGAGCAAGCACGGAGGGAATTACTTTGCAAATCCTCACAAGCACTGAAGATGGAGAGCACTTTCGATGCCAACAGTGAGAGGGAATGCAGCGTATGTCTCTTCGATCTGCACCTCTCTGCTGCAGGTTGCCACCATTGTTCACCAGATAAATATGCATGCTTGAACCATGCAAGACAATTATGTACATGTTCCTGGGGTGCCAAGTTTTTCCTTTTCCGTTACGATGTGAATGAATTGAACGTTTTGGTTGAAGCTTTGGAAGGGAAACTGAGTGCAGTATATCGATGGGCAAGGCTCGACCTCGGACTTGCTTTAAGTTCTTATGTTTCCAAAGACCACACCCAAAGCCTTCCGGTTATAGGTAAATTATCATCTTCACCAGCTCCAAAAGAGACGAGCGCGTTTCCCAGTGTCGTTTCCTCAAAAGAGCAGAAAGGGGCAGCAGATGGAGATATTTTGAATTTGACAAAGTATATCGGCAGTCCAAACGGTGCTAAAATATTGAAACCACCTGTGGTGGTATTGGCTCTCGAAAACATGAAGGGGTTATCAAACTCATCTCCCCAGAAAAATGAATCAGCCAAACATTCTTCACCATCTAAAAAGGAAAACCCTTCCAAATATAAAGCTTCATCGACGTGTAAGCCTTTTCAAGTCAGTTCATCATTTCCTGGAAACAAAGATGTCATACTGCTGAGCGATGACGAGGGAGATGTACCCATTAAACAACCGTCTGTCGAAAAGGAGATCTCCGAAAATATGGTTAATCTTGCTAGTTGTGTTAACATTCCAGTCTCTGTGACCACTGTCACTGCTTCCTCTGTAACGCTTGAAACAATGAAGCATGGTTCTGTTCCAGAGTACATAAAAGTTGAAGACCATGCAGATTCTGGCGAACAAGTCCCAATGAAGAAAGAGACAAACATTGATGGTGGTCATAAACCAAAACCAAACAGTGATGAAAGATCACATAATGGCGATAGTCATAAAAATCGGGAGATGGATGTTGATTCGAGATCGGTGGAGAACGTACAGAATGTAACATGTGCCCCATCTGTCTCTCAGAATGTCTTGGACAGATATTATCGTCAGAAGGGACCTCGTATGGCAAAAGTAGTTAGGAGAATTAATTGCAATGTTGAACCTCTGGACTTCGGGGCTGTGCGTGCTGGAGCGTTATGGTGTGACAGTCGGGCTATTTACCCCAAGGGTACGAGCTGTAGAAATCATACGACCTTTTTTTTTTTTCTCTTTTAATATTGGATTTAATTGAATTAAGTTTTTTTTTTCAATGCAGGATTTAGGAGTCGAGTGAGGTACATAGATGTTATAGATCCATCTAATATGTGCTATTATGTGTCTGAAATTCTCGATGCCGGGCGTAATGGACCTCTATTTATGGTATTTAAATTTTAACTGTGAACCGTTTTACGTACCATACAAGTTTTTCATATAGCATAAATAAGTACGTATCTTGAATCTAATTTTACTGGTTTTGTAGGTCTCGGTCGAGCATAGTCCTAATGAAGTATTTGTCCATATCTCGGCTTCTAGATGCTGGGAAATGGTTCGGGAAAGAGTAAATCAAGAGATTGGAAAGCAACATAAGTTAGGAAGAGCAAATCTCCCTCCTTTGCAGCCTCCAGGTAGTATGGATGGGATGGAAATGTTCGGCTTTTCTTCTCCAGCAATTGTACAGGCAAGCTCTTAAAACTAAAAACCTGGTTTTTAACTAGTCCTCGAGTGAGAAGAAACTTAATAAAATACTTGGGCCTCGTTTGGTTGGTAAGATAAGCCACAATTTATTAAATAATTAGGTGTTACTTAATGTTTGTGAAGTGCAATAACAATAATGGAAAATGAGCTCTAGTCCAATTTTATGTGATAAGATTGCATAATCTTATCTTGGGAACCAAATGAGGCGCCGAGGCCTTAAGTTTCAAACTTTATGAGTCGAACTTGCTATGTTTTCTGGTAATAACATAAAGCGTTTCTGGTGGAAAACTGTTTCGAGCTGATTCTGAACTTTCTCTCTCTCTACAGAAAATTCAGGCGCTGGACCAGAATCGGGTCTGTTCAGATTACTGGAAAACAAGACCACTAATGCAGATCCCTCAGCAATCTCAGTATGTAGAAAGTAGTAGTAACTGTAATGTGAAATCTGAGCCGTTGAATGATGAACACAATCCGAGTAGAAGCCATCCTGGCGTTGAGAAAATACTGAACGGCTTATTTAACAAGGCAAATACCGAGGAGCTCCGCATGTTGTACAGTGTTTTACATAACAAGAGCTCCACCGATGAGCAAAGCTTATTGACCAAGCTTCTTAGTGACGAGATTCACAAGCACCCAAGATAGTTTTCCCAGTGTAGCTTTTTAACTTCACAATTAGATTTTGTAAATTACGAGCTCCATTATACGTGACGACGATCTTGCTCACTAAAGAAATTTTCAATTTTTTTTTCATTTTTTTTATTTTAAGGTCAGGAGCAGAGGATGATTCAATGTTTTGAATAATGAGTCTTACATTAATTCCTGTAGAAATAACAGAAATCCCATTCTTTCAGATGTTTCGTATTTTGTTGTACTTGTCTGGAAGCAAACAACATTTTGGGTGTATCTGCAACTGTCAAAATTGTAGTAATACTCTGTCTGAGACGCTTCGACTATTTTAAATAGCCTTTTTATTCCGTTAAAATATGATCTCGTTTATTATTAGAAAAAAAAATGTGGCATTGCCAATTTTCAAAACATTTGTATTTTTGTTCTTTAAATTCTTGTTTAGAATCCATCTCGAATCAAGCTAGGTGAGTACACAGAGTATCGAGTATGTACTAATAAGTTGAATTACGAATATGCTGAACAAGTACAATTAATGGTTGCCATTAGTTGGTAATGACAGCTAAAACGACGAACACAATTTTTTTACGCAGAAGTTGCCAGTTGGTAGAGTTGCAGTTTCCATATGTAGTTTACCACATTATTTATTTAAACATAATTTAGTTTAACTGAATATCACACACTTAAAACTTAAAATCATGATCGTCGAAGCCTAGTTGCCACCATTTTCACCGACGAGGCCACCGACAATTTTCTGCAATAATAATAAGACCAGAACAAAATCATTAGAAACTCCAATTTCTAGTCCCATAATCACTCAATAAGAGGAATATTCCAAAAAAACAAAACAATTAAAAAATTGTTACCTGGATGCAAGAAACAGTGTACTGCACATCGGTTTCTGAGATCTGATGGTGAATAACGAGCCTAATTCTGACACGTAAATGTCGGTATTAGACATTGTTTGGATACATGCACATATATACAGAAGTACAAAAAAAAATTACGTACTTGAGTGGACCTTCCGACATTGCAAATATTCCATGCGCTTCAAGATTTTTGAGTAGTTTGCCTTCTGTGATACCCAAGCTCTCTTGAATATCAAAATAGACCTATAACAGTTTTTTTTTTTTTTTTTCATTAGGAATTCACAATCAAGTTATATTAGTGGAATCAGTAAGTAATCAAATTCGCACGTTTACAACACTTACAATATTGGTCTCGACAGAAGCCAGGTCAACGTTCAATCCTTTGATATTATTAACTCCCTCTGCCGATCATGAAGAATTTATTTATGTACATAAATCGAGGAGCAAATAATATATATATATATATATTTTTCTTTCGGAAAATGCACATAAAACACCATGATGGGAAAAAAACTTACCTGCCAAAGTCTTGGCTTTTTTATGATCAGTTTCGAGCTTAGCAACATTTTCTTCGAGGGCAACCAAAGCAGCGGCACATATGACACCAACCTGTCTCATACCACCACCTAATGTCTTCCTAAGAATCTTCGCCTTTTGCGTACAACAAAATATAAAGAAGGTCTATGTAAATTTAGGGAAAAAAGAAAAATAAAAAAATTGAAGTCCGAAGAGAAAATAACCATTAATTTTGTGTACCTTGTAAATGAAGTCTCGTGGACCTGCAATAATAGTTCCGGCAGGAGCACCAAGACCTTTCGACAGACAAGCCTGCACATCACATAGAATTAGTTTCGTCTAACAGAATTGCTTTACAATTTTTTACGAGAATAAATATATCAGAAAAAATGCATATTAAGAAATATGTAAAAGTAATATTGAACATACTGTTACTGTATCAGCAGCCTGCACAAGCCTATGAACTGGAACTCCAAGAGCCTGGAAAATAGATTCGATTAATAGTTTCCCGATTGTGTGTGTACTTACTTGGATGTACTTATTCCAGAATTTATTCCTCAAATCAAATTCTTATTTAAATGTACTTACTAATCGATCTCACTTGCACTACTTTCTCTGTGATATTTTGTACATAGATGCATGAGCCATTACAATAAATAAAAACGACAAGTCGAACTCATTTTACAGGGTCACATATTTCTTTTATGATTGAACTTGACTCACCACAGATGCATTGAAAATACGAGCACCATCGATGTGAAGCTTCAACCCATACTTCTTCGCCAGCTCCCCAACTTGGTCGGTGTATTCTGTAGTCAAACATCGACCACCAGAGCTGCATAAAAAACAACCATTTCGTCACTTCCAAAATCACAAAAAAAAAAAAAAAAAAAGAATAATCAAATCGATTTTTCTTAAAATTGATAAAATTTACTGTGCATGTGAATTTTCCAAGCAGATGAGCCTAGTAGTCGGATAACAAATCTCAAAGCTCGGATCCCTTATCGCCTCTTCAATGAGTTGAATATCCATTGTTCCATCTTCGTTATTCTTCACAGTTCTTGGATGAACACCACCAAGTGTCGAAATGCCTCCGTTTTCGTAAATATGGATGTGCGAATAGTCGCCGAGAATTACCTCACTGCCCCTGATCTGACAGTGAGTGAGCACACAGATGAGATTAGCCATTGTACCTGAGGGTACAAACAGTGCTGCTTCTTTGCCCATTATTTTCGCCATCTCCTTTTCGAGACGAGCAGCAGTTGGATCGTGGCCCAATACATCATCGTCCACGTCAGCACTCGCCATTGCAGCACGCATAGCCTCTGTTGGTTTTGTGACTGTGTCGGATCGAAGATCAACTCTCCTCGTCACCATTTTTCGCTGATCAATCAAAAGAGTTAAAAGAATAAATAAAAAATTAGCAAAAGTTTCGTATATTTGTATCATAATAACAAGATATCATATACAAGAGAAGAAATCATAATATATCAGATGATGAGTCATGATTGAAGAAAAAGCCAGTGCAAATTCATAATCTTGCAGACTCTATCGAAACATTAAGACGACAATTTTCGATTTAATTTTACAGATCTTCGGTTTTAAACAAAACAAGAAACTTACAGACTGATACAGGATGAAAATTAGGAGATTCTTCTTCAGCCTTGACTCCACCGATTATCGAATCACTTCCTACGAAGAAAAAAAAATGCAAAAATCATTAATTATTCACCAAAATAAACTCAAATTAAAATGAAAAAAAAAGCATAAGAAATATTACAAACACATGAACAGCAGATGAGGTTTATTCTGTTCTGAAGAAACCTGTATTTAAACATGTGGTCTCCCCGAAAAAAGAAAAAAAACCCCAATTAGGGAAAGAATCTACCAACTTTTAAACGTGTAATTATGGGATGAATCTCAATTAAAACATTTCGCATTATTTCCCCCATTCAATGAACTTTTCCACTTTTATGAAGATGGAAAAAGCAATTCTAACACACAATTAAAGCGCACACAGTAAAAGTAGCGCTTATCATCCAGAGAAAAATCCAAACATATGATGTAACAGAAATGAATCTTACCCCACCCACCACCACCACCGAAATTAAAAAGGAGGAATCTTTAGCTGTGTAATTCAATGGGCCAGGAAAAAAAAAGCTCTACCTAAGTACCAAACACCTTTCGTAATCGCAAATTTTGTTCGAAATTCAGCAGATAAATGACATGCATGGGGGGAATTCAGTGGGGGGGTTAACAAATTTGATTTCCGTCAACTCACTCTGTTTATTTTCTGACCTCGATTTCTGCCAAAATTTCCTGCAATTAGGTTGAATTGGTGAGTGGGGTTGCTCCGTTTGCCTCGTTATCTCCGTCGCCGTGAAGGAGAGAAGAACAGCGTTCAGGTTTTTAGAGAGAGAAACTAGATTTTAGAGTGTGTGTGTGTGTGTGCTTGCTTTTTATGGGTTAGGGAGAAATAATTGTGGTTTACTGCATTTATAGAAAGGAGAGATGGTTTTTGGGTTTTGAAACCTCTGCATGAACAAAATCTGACGTGGCAGAGAGAGACGAATAAAATCTGACGTGGCAGAGAGAGAAACAGAGAAGGCAAGTATGGTTGGGAATTGGAACTCCAGCTGCTTTTTCCAAAATTGCTTTTCTATTTCTCACGGGTTCAATTTTACTTATTTATTTATTGAATTTAAAAAAATGTGGAAAAGAAAATTCGAAATTTTTATTACTATATTTTAATGTTGTATCTTGTATGGAATTTTATTTTGTTACTATATGTTATGTACATTAGAATTTAGAACAATAAAATTGTATTAACACGTGGTATAATAAGTAAATAAGAAAAGTAACTAATATAAACACCTTGTAATTTAAAATTAAAAATTAAAAATAAAAATAAAAAAAGTGAATATAGTCAATCAGTCCAACCCAAAAGAAAGATGATGAAGCTGCCACGACTGTTTGAGTAATCCAGATAACCAAAAACAAAGAAGTGTTTATTTGCAATTAGTACCCCTATATTATATCGAATTGCGAAAAAGTTGCCTTATATTATTTAATTGACAAAAACGGCCATATAAAATGCAATTTTTTTAGCACACAACCCGCAACTATTTTGTTCCTTACTTTCTCGATTTCGACTCGGAGTCGCAAACAATATCACTAACAAGTTAAACACATTACAATCAAGTCCCAAAATTTGAACTCATATACAAAATTTAAATCTTGAAACACGGAATTATTCGTCTAATTAATTCCAAATAAAATAAATCGATCTTCAATCCTCCCTTGATAGATGCAGAATTTTCATTTGTAGTACGAAGCTAGAACATAAAGCATTAGTGCCGTTGACGCAGTTACAAACAACTCCTGAAAAACATGATTATTCGTTATTTGAGTACATAAAACTTATCAACATGTATATATATTTACGTTTGTGGACTACGGTTATATATTACCTGGTTGTTGTACAAGAAAATAGGTATATAGCCAGCTGCAAATTCAATACAATTCAACACTGCAGTGTACCCCTGCAACGAAAGAACAGAGAAGACGTCATTAAACGAAACTAAACATCCTTTTTTTTACATTTTTCCGTAGTAACTCGACTGCGAAAATGCAAATAGTCAACAAAAATTATGCACAGTCAGCATACCAAAGAGGCAAAAGCGACGCATCCAAAACCCAATGCAAGTGATCGAAGCAGTCTTTTGCCCATTTTCAACATTCTCCCTTCATCCTCACCACCTTCTTCCTGCAATGCAAAATACCAACATTGGCCTTTACGAGAAAAAAATCGACGAAAAGAATCATCATTTTTTACAATCACGACTTACTGTAAATGTGGTAGGTGCAGGTGATTCGAACGACTTTAACTTCTCAAATATCCGATAAACGAAAACAAAGGCCAAGAATTGCAAAGGTTTGTATTCGGCACTGCCCTTGATAAGAATCCAAGCCGTCTGCACGAATTGGAGGGAAAATGAATTAAGTAATAACTATAGATCTATCTAATTCTCCTCAAAGAAACCTAAGTAAATTTTCTACTTACAAATACAGCTGATATTGCCATGTTGATTCGAATATCTTTGACCTCCGATTTGGCAAACCTGAACCATGTGCCGGATAGGTGTCACGAGAGAGATGTAAATAACTATACAACTATCGACTCAAACTTAGAAGTTATGGTTGAAATAACTGTAATTGATACGTAGTAAGCAAATCACGTTAGATTTCCGGCCAATTCAGATCATGAAAGAGTCGAGATTAAGGATCGAAGATAACTCTACCTTGGGCCCCACGGAACAATTGGCTGCTTATCGGCATATTTTATATCTTTCGAAACCTGCAATTCGTATAAATAAAGATGAACACATCGTCGCAACTGTTCATAAAGAACATTAACAAATATAATATACTGAAAATACCGACGAAAGTTGCTTGACGTTTTTAGTAATTCCTATGTTCTTCTAACCCCATTACAAAATAAAGTCATCCAGTAAAGTAACTAATCACGAAGCTATTGATCTTTCGAAGGAAAAATGTTGTACAAAAAAAGAATCGATTTTTTTTTTACATACCCGAAACGGACCGAAAGTTTCGCCCTTCTTCCGTTTCTTCAATTGAGACATCATTATAGTGTCGTATGCTTTTTCCAACTGAAAATGCGAGCAACAAAAACGAAACTTCAGCACGTAAAATATCTAGTACAGATGTATAAAGGTCATACATATATATACTCGAAGAAGATCGTTACTAGGGTTGTTTCCGTACTTGTGCTGCAGCAGCTTCATCGCCTCTCCTCTCAGCATCCTTGCGCCTTTTCGTGTAAGCCGCCTTCACCATGTCGAATCCCTCTAGAGGATTTACACCAAGAACCTGCAAATAAATAAATATTTATTTATGTTTGATTAATTGCCCCTAAATAAAAACATAGAAACAGTGAGTCTGTAAAATTACCTCGTAAGGGTTTACATCGCCGTTTGCACCGGAACCACCGGCGGCAGAAAATGCGGCGCAAACCACCCGATTGCTGCTGATTGGCTGTAATCTGGAAAACCTGAACGAATAAAAAACACGAATTTTATGAGAAATCGGAATTTGAAAAATGTGAAGATAAGGTTCATCGATTGGAAAAAAAAGTAATTATCACCTGACAAATGTGGGGTGAAGTGGGAGTGAATTTGCTTTCAGAAAATAATTGCTGGGCGGAAACTTTGAGTGTTTAGGGCATTGGATTATCGACAACGCCATTGATTTGAGTGAAGAACGAAAGAATCAATTTTGGGGAAATTTGGTGAGGTTTTTGCAGAGGGTTTTGGTGTGTAATCTATACAGTTCATTATTTTCTTAGAAATAAGTATACATTACAAGAGTAAACATCAAGTTCGCGTGGCCTAATGGATAAGGCGCTCGCCTCCGGAGCGGGAGATTGTGGGTTCGAGTCCCACCGTGAACGCGCAATTATATTTTTTATTTTTAATATTTTGGGCTTCCTTTCCTTTTTTTGTTTGGGCTCTTACTTGGGCTGGATTTTTTTTTATTTCAATGTCTTGGACCTCCTTTACTTTTATTTTGGGCTCGTACTTTCTTTTTTGGGTTCGTAACTAATAACTATGTAGCACGAAAACATCAACTTCATAACGTTTTTCCCGTTTTCGGACACGTTTTGTAACTCATGCTCGAGGACACCTCGAACACCTAATGGACTATTTTGGAATTTGTAAAAAGTTAGGGAATATGAGTATTATCTAAAATCTTAATCCCATTATAATTTAGATAATATTATCCCGAATTGATTATTTTTTTCCAAGAAACATAAAAACACCTCGAGTTACAAATCCAACATACATTTGCATTTATTTGACATGCATAGCAGGGAATCTCTGCAATTCCCAGACCAAACTTATTTAACAACAACATAAAAAGAAAAAGACCATTTATTTGTTCCAAGAAACACTTATTTTTAATATATATATATATATATATATATATATATATATATATATATATATATATATATATATATATATATAAATTCAGTTCACTTTCTCTGAGATTTTGTAGTGAAATCCATCTGGGAATCTGATGATGGGTGACCTAACAATTTTCCCTCCCTTAACTAAACCCCATCTGCAAATAAATCACCAAATAAATCAATCATTATTAAAAGATATTAATATTGATCAGAAAAAGGAAAAATAAAATAAAATAAAATAAAATAAAAATACCTATACTTTGTGACCAAAACATGAATAAATGTCGCCAAAAGCACTCTACTATACTCTGCACCTGCACATTGCTTCATCCCCGAACCAAACGGCATGAAACACTTCGCCACAACGCTCGCTTGAATTTCCTGCACCGCCAAATTAGTCCATTTTCGAACATTAAAAACCACATTTTTTTTTCCAAAAAAAAAAATAATGAAAACCGGAAACGGCTACTTTTTCACCTTCCAACGCCAAGGGTTGAATTTAAGTGGATCCTCGAATTGAGACGAGTCTAGGTGAAGACCGGCTGTAGCAATCATTATCACCCATCCCGACGGAATCGTGTATCCTACATATATTTTAATTTCAATTTTATTTTATTGAGCTTCTATATATTATATAGATAATACTAATCCAACTCCGAACGATTATTATTATACCGTTTACTGGAATATCCGTCAATGCTCGACGAAAGAACCCTGGAGCTATATTCCCTAGCCTCAAAACTTCATTAATCACCTATATATATAGTTTCCAATAAACATTTGCTGCTTCATTCAAAAAAAAAAATTAATAAATAAATATATATACATACGAGACCTGAAGAGTAAATGTCATCGATTTGTATTCGTTCCACATCAGATTCGAGTCTGACTTTTCTCTCTTCTTCAATATTGCCTCATGCTCAGCCTAATCAATTCATATATAATTGATTTATTAATTAAGATAAATTATGTAGTATATATTATATATATAATATATGTATATTATACTTACAGTTAATTCCTCCAAGACCAAAGGATGCTCAGCTAACAACTTGAAAGCTAAAGCTAAGGTAGTGGAAATAGAATCGGACGTGACGAAAAACAGACCGAACATTAACTGAACTATGAAATCCTCGTTTATAAACGACTCCGTTTTCTTGTCTTCGATTATATGATCAAGAAGATCACCATTTTTCCTCTCTGTTTCAGACAGCCTCTTTGTCACAACATCTCTCATCATTTCTCTAACTTTCTTGTGAGTCTGGAATTTAATTTATCAAAAAAAATTTATAATTTATAACCATATAATTATCTAAAATCATGATTTCATGATTAATAAGACTATTATATGATTATGGAATTAAATTTATTTATTTTGAAATTGTTAATTACCTGCAGACATTTATGATGTGAAGTACCGGGAAGATTTATTGGGAACGACATTAGTCCTTCGACCAAATCCCTAAACATGTCGCTCATCTTCAACGGCGCGTTCTCGAGATCGCCGCTGAATATTTGCTTCGCCGCAAAATCAATCGCCATCTTTTTTCATGCAAAATGTTAATATTAGTAATAACATTTCTAGCAATTCGATACAACCAATTCGATACAACCATTGGTACTAAATGCAATAAATTTATTAAATATGCATCAATACTAAAATCGGTCGAAAATTACTCTTCATCATTCCCATATTTTTCTTCGCTTTGGAATATCTTTTACTTTAAATTATTTGTCACTTTAGAATATCATCAATGAAATATTTATTACACTAACAGTGAAATAACTAATGGAAGAGGGTATTTTGGTCATTTTATTGTATTTTTCATAGAATTCATGCAAATTCATTATTTATCTTAATATGTACGCGTTAGCCTAAAACAACAAATAAAATGGTATGAAGTGAGTATATATATATATATATGTATATTTACCGTAACCGATTCACTTTTAACTTCGACAGAATCGAGACTCGACCAAGAAGAAAGAGTTTTCCGGACCATAACTTCGATCTGAGGGAGAAGTTTTCCCTTAAGAGCCTCAACTCCAAAGTGATTCAACGTCAAATTCCTCGTGTACTTTCTAGAAGATTGACTTGCCTGGTCAAACACCTCCGCAAACGTGTCCATCGACCACGTGTCCACTAATTTCCCGTCTTGCCGGAGCAGAAAGTGGTTGAACTCCAGGTCCGCCGTGAATACCACGGGCCGACCCGCTATGTTTGTCCGAAATATCGACCCGTATCTAAACCGGTAATTAAAAATACAAAATTAATTTCAATTTTCTTGAAATTGTTTTAATTAATTATATTATATTATATATATTATAATAATTATTAATTAATTAATTACCTTTTGATTCTGCTCTTGATGAAAGGTGGGAGGTCCAAAGAGGCGCTTGGAATTACTAGCTGAATGGTTTCTCCTATGAGAGGGAAGCCCATTGAGCCAGGTGGCAGAACTCCATTGGTTTTAGGGTTTCTCCACCTGTAAATCCAGTGTGTAATGGAGATTGATAGCAGTGTTCCGACAAGGAGAATTAGTGATGATTGCAATGATTGTGTCGTGTACGAGGTAATATATGTTTCCATATTTCAGGCAATTAATTAATATTACACTTTGAGAAAACTAATCGATATATACATATACTATATTGCAATGCTTTTGTGTGATGGCTTCTTATATAGGCTGCAGTGGAGAAGATAACGAAGTGCATGGCATATACATATATATATATATATATATATATATATATATATATATATATAGACACACACACACACCATGTTTTGGCTTGGGGAAAGAAGACATTTGAGAGTATATATGTGTGATTTGGCTAGTTTTTTTAAGTGATCAATGTTCTCTTATTTGTCACATTTGCATCATCTTTATAAGGGTAGAAATCGGAACGGAATATCTGATTTCTGTCGACATCGTTCCGATTTTATTTTTATTGTAGAATCGATATCTTTCATTCCGACTTTTGATTTTTTAGATTTTTTCATTTGGATAGAAATTGGATTATATACGAGATTTCAATTTTCTGATTCGATTTTAGTTTTCGAAAATAATCCAGATTGTTTTTTAATTTCTTTTTCTTCTGAAAATTGTATCTATAATATAAATAATTCAATATTATTATGTATTTCATATTGTAGGTGAATGGAAAAATGATCAGAAGAATTTCAATTTTAATTTTAGAACATGTTTTCTTATTCCAATTTATAAAATTTCGATTTCCAATTTGGGACATAATTGGAATTGGTATTTCACTTCCCAGCAAAATTAACAAAATATAATTCAAATAATAAAAAAAAAGTAAACAATTAATGTGTATTTGCTGCACTAATTTAATTTAATCCCCTAATTGTAAAATATTTTATTATATTTAATAAATATAATTAGAAAAGTGACTATATTGCAAAAGGTTGTATTATAATAAATTGAATATTCCACATTACATGGAAGTATGAAAATTACAGCGCATACACCGAGACGACAACCAAGACCACGCCAACCTTATAATAATATTCAACATAATCACTAATCACAATTAGTTTATACTTAACCAAGAAAATTAAATAAAAACATTAACAAGCAACTATTTATACTAAAAATTGAAAAAAAATAAAAAAACATAATTCGTTAGCTTTTGAATTGAAAGAAAATCCAAATTCCCCAGAAAAGATTTTTTAATCCGAGATAGATCTTCTCACACTCTGAATCAGCATAATTACGATGTCAAATATGTGGAGATTAGGGTTTATATCATCGGTATTATTGGGGTTGATGATTGCAGTGTGCAGATTTGACGGAGTTTTGGGATCGCAGCAGAGTTCAGAAGAAGCCTACGTCACGCTTCTCTACGGTGATGAATTCCTGCTCGGCGTCCGAGTACTGGGGAAGTCGATCCGAGACACCGGTTCTAACAAGGATATGGTTGCGCTCGTCTCTGATGGAGTTTCTCTCTCTGCTCAAAAGCAGCTTCAGGTTTTTTTTTTTTCAATTTATGATTTATCTACGTTTTCTCTTTTGTTTTCTCTGGTGGATTTAGTGGGAAGTGTTTTATGTGTGTGTGTGTGTGTGTGTGTTTTATGTGAGGTTTTATGCAGTTCTTAGTTGTGTATAGTGGTTGTGTAAGATTGGAGCTTATCGAATTGCTGATTCTGTTTATGGTTGGACGAATTTGGTGCTTCGAGTTTTAATCCCACGGAACTTCGTTCTCGGTTGGATTTTCGTCTTTTGATATAGAAAACGCAGTAACTTGCATAAAATCAAACCTGGCGTGCTTGTCGGATTTTGCTTATAGTTTCTGGTAGATTGTTACCCTTGAGGAATTGTATTGTATATATTGAAGCTACAAATTACGGAAGGAATTATTTTCGTTTAGTTGGTTGGGGGAGAAGGGGTGATAAGATGTCTCTGCTGTACATATTCAAGTGTTACTATGCATATTGGACCTATCTGTAAGATTTGGCTCTTTAAGCCTTCTTGTTTGCAAAAAGGAAAGTATCTGGCTAGATTATTTGACGTTTATTGAAATCTTATTTTGGGTTTGTGGAGTAAAAGTAAGCTGTGAATGCAAATCTATCCCTTTTTTATTGTTTCATTTTCCTTATTTTGATAATCTCATACGTGGTTTTTGTTTTGTTGTGCAGGCTGATGGCTGGATTGTGAAAACAATTAGTTTACTGGAAAATCCCAATCAAGTGCGTCCAACGAGGTTTTGGGGTGTCTATACAAAGCTTAAAATATTTAATATGACGGAGTACAAAAAAGGTGATTGTTCGGCATGGTAATTTATTTTGTTGAGTGCAAGCCAGTAAAATTTCCATGGTGAAACTTTGGCTGATATTCAAGTAGTTTATGAACATATGCTGGAGTCAACTTTCATGCTGAGCGTGATTGAATCTTAACTATTTGATGCATATAATCTAGGGCAATTGTTCTTAATCCTATGTTTGTTCTTTTACATTTTGGCAGTGGTATATCTTGATGCTGATACAATTGTCGTAAAGAGCATTGAAGATCTTTTCAAGTGTCGGAAATTTTGCGCCAATTTAAAGCATTCAGAAAGGCTGAATTCTGGAGTCATGGTGGTTGAACCATCAGGGCAAGTGTTCAAGGACATGATGACCAAAGTGAACACTATGTACTCTTACACTGGAGGTATGGCTTTGTTATTTATTTAAACATCTTCTTCTTCATCCTCTTTTTTTAGGGTGGGGGGTTGTACTGCTAAATATAGTACACTGTATTGGTATTTGTGCCAGTCTTCTTTTGTGAAGAAGGTTTTTTCTAAGTGTAGGTGGAACTGATTATTTTGTGCATATCCCTTACTACTTAAAGAGAAGGGATTTTCTAGTTTGTTTTTAGCATTACGGAGATGTGTAATAATGTTTAGACATCCTGAAGGTTAATATTCGTGCACATTATTGACGTGGAATTTGCTATATATTTATGCTTCTGTTTTCCTTTTATATGTCCATCTAAAATATTGAACTAAGTTTTCTATGCCAAATAGATTAAGCTGTTACTTGCAATCATACATTTTCCTTACTGAGCAGTTGACGATAATTCTGAGAATAAGTAATGTGAGGTTTATGTATTTTGCTTTTTTTCTGCTTCTCATTGTGTTATGCTAACACTAATAGGTGACCAAGGATTTCTCAACTCATATTTCCCCGACTTTGCAAATGCACGTATTTTTGACCCGCATGCATCTGAGGAGGAATTAAAGTCTAGACCCATACCCCAAATGGAGAGACTTTCTACTTTATATAATGCTGATGTTGGTCTTTATATGCTTGCAAACAAGGTAACATCTATTATCTCTCTGCCAAAATACATCTTTGTGCTTATATGTGTTTTGTCTGTGCATATAAAGTAAGGCTGCTGCTCCCTTTCTTGAATGTTTTCTGATGGTTTGGGGTGATGTACTTATGTAAAAAAAGAGTTAAGTAACTTTCAAATGCTAACTGTACTTATACCAAAAGCTGCTGTAGGCTTGCTTGAGGAATGAGGAGGGGTGCTTGTTCTCTAGTTCTATAGATTCTTTTCTGTTTTTTTCCTGGAAACTTCCTGTGTCCAAGTACAATTTTTCTGTTTGAGGTTGGATTCAGCCTGAATGTTTCCCCATTTAATTTTAGTTACTTGAATAAGGGTTGATATACTAGAACATGTTTTGGAGCCGTAACTGCACATATATGCTTGACGTGGAATCAACTAGTTGCCTCAATACCAGTAATTCTGTAACTTGTTGTTGTCAAGTTTGGTATTATCTCAATGTCAATCATTCCGATTCTGGGCTTTTTCGCTAGAAAACATTTACCGGCTTTATACAACTTATTAATAAAATCAAAAGCCGAAGGATAGAATATTTCCTAAAGTAATTAGAAAGTAGTTTGGGATTAGCAATCTTGAGAATTAATTTTCATGTTGTGACTTTAATCTATAATATGAGATCTATTTTTGGACATTTGTCATCTGAAGCAGAGTTAACTGTGTAGTATGTACATTAGGATTACGAATGTCGATGGAAGTTTTTGCTAGAGGAAAAGAAAAAAATATAGTATTGTGTAAACACAATAAGTATGATACCAAATGTGCAATGTATTAGGATCAGCAGAGTTTGATAACGAGAAGATTTATGCTTATTATTAGGCTATATCACCTTTCATCTAGAATGTTGCAAGAATTTCCATGATCTTCTTCTAAATCTTTTCCAATGTCTCTACCCTAATTGAGGAAACTCTTACTGCATTAACTATTGCACCGTCGCTGTTTAGAAAAACTTAAGAAATTGGTCAGATACCATTTCTTTTATCTCTTCTTATAATACATGGTTGTTGAAACCAGTATATTGTGTGCTAGAGGGAATACATGTTTACAGACAATAATGTGAGTGATTTGGATCTGCGAGTTGGGAGGGAATATATTAGCTTCTCTAATGTAGTAGGAATACATTTTTTTATATCTTAACTCCGTATGCTCTTAATTTTCAGTGGATGGTTAATGAGGACCAACTTCGTGTTATTCATTACACACTTGGTCCTCTTAAACCTTGGGATTGGTGGACACATTGGCTCGTTAAACCTGTTGATGTCTGGCAGGTATATAGTTCTATTTTTAGTTTGAGGCGATCTTAATGGGTTTATCTGTTTTTCATGATTGTCAAATGTTACTTCTGTTCTCTCCGATAACCAGTTGCAAGATCTTTCTTTCTGGTGCTGCAGAATGCGAGGATAAACCTTAAAGAGACACTCCCAGGTACTGGAGGGGGTCAAAATCCGAATGATGAGCTGCTAGTCAAATTTCTTATTCTGGTTCCACTCGTGTTCTTTATTTTCTGTTATTACCGCTCATACTTACAGGTTAGCAACTTTGAAATATTTTTTCTCTTCAAATGTTTGTTGAGCTACCCTTAAAGTTTATGTAGTTATATATATTAACAGTGACTTTTTACATCAGACACGGTCACTTTTTGATCATATTAGACACCTCTACTATAAACTGAGATCTGGAAGTGTTCTTGGTTATTCCTCCGTTACATCATCTACCATCAGCTCCAATCAACAGGTGTGCGCTGCTCTTCACCTTTTACTTAATATTGAAACTCATATTTTTTAGGATAAATATTCACATTCGGCATTGATATTATCATTTTTATGCACTGGGTAAACATGATATACAGTATACAAGCTGTCGGGTTGTTTATTTGTTTCGTTTCAGATACTGGATAAGTTGTATTTCAGATTCTATTATTCTATTCTCTTTTTTAGCCATAGCACTCCAGCATTCAGTTATTTGAGAAATTTCTAATGTGGTTTTGCTCTGCTGAATTGATACACAGCTTCCAAATGCAGCACAAAGCAAGGTGCCTGCATTTCTCGGTCCAGTCTCAGCGGCAGTTAGTTTTATAGCTGCTCTAGTTTCACTTGCACTTTCATTCTCAATTGTGCCTCGACAAATCATGCCGTGGACTGGTTTCTTCCTTGTGTACGAATGGACATTCACAATATTCTTCCTACTCTTCGGAAGCTATCTGCATGTAATTTATCAATGGGGAAAGCATCTGGCCCAACAGTCAGCATCTTTTTCCTCGCGTCCCGAATCTTCAGATTACGATTCTGGGAAAGGTACGACACTTGAGTCAATTCAAATTCACTTAGTTCGTTTTGCTTTCATCTTCGAATCGTTAGACTTACTGATTTTCGGTTGGTATTTTAGGTCATTTGCGACATATGTCGTCTTGTGATGTTGCCGGTTGTTACTATGGGTTAGGGATGGCATCTCTTGCCTTGGCCGTTCCTCTATTACCTTGTCTATTGGGAATCACTGCCCTATTTTTAAGGTATGCTGTTATATCTTGTCCCTTAATTTCTCGTGCATGTGCCGATTTACTGTTTGAGCTCTGGCATTGTTCTACACTACCGAATTAAGTATTCACAAGTGATTTTAGTTTTATTTAAAACGAATGAATTACCTGGTTTTTAACAGGTTAGGTTTGATGGTGGCCGGAGGGCTTATCTTGACATCGTTTATGACATATGCTTCGGAGCACCTTTCGATAAGAGCATTTATGAGGGGTTACGAAGATAGGGATTCACAAAGAACCCGGAGTTTTTGTTATATGTGCTAGTTGTATTTACCATTTTTTTTTTGTAAGCTAATTTAATTTTTCGACAGAGCTAGAGTCCATCTTTCGTGTAACTTATTGATATAACAATTTTTTTCTCTTTCTCTGGTTCAACTGTAGTATATTATTTGCCTTAAAAAGTATATATATTATATATGTGTGTATATATATATATGTATATATATTTGCTGGGGCAAAAATGTTAGTATAGAAGAGAAGACAATCTAACATATTTTTGTACATGCTTCTTAAATTTTCTATTAGTGAGATGAAAGTTATCAGGTAATTTATTTTTTATTTTTTCTTTTTTTTCTTTTGATTAGTGGAGAAACAACATTTTTAGAATATATCTTAAATAAAAATGTAAGGCAAATTTATTTCCAAACAGCTTATAAGCTCATTTTAACGGCTTATAAATTTAGCCAAACAACCTCTTACTTCTTGGCTTCTTGCTACCCAACTCAATTAAGTTCTCCAACCCCTAAATTGTTTATTCCTTTTAATTTCCTAGTAATTTATTTTTGAATTACTCTATGCTTTGTATGTAAGTTGAAACATTAACAGATATAATGAATTAAATATAGAGAGGCTTATAACATGAAGAAAGTGAAGGTGATGTGACAGGTAATTAATACCCTATTAAACTAATTATCTCATTAATTAATATTTTATATATAGATAACCAATTAGTGATGCACAAGCAACGTGCCATGTATCATAAAATGATTGGATTAGACAAATTTCAAAGAGATAAAGAAATGCATTATTTGAATCTTGACATGAAGAACACCTAATTAGTTTGTCTCTTGGTTCGTTCATCTTATTGGAGATTATCACTAGGTTGACTAAGGTAAACTTGATAATTTATTAATTAGTGGAAATATTTAATTGTTGGAAAAACCTATAGGGTGATTTAATTGGTCTAAGAGAATCTTGTGGATTAATAACTACTTCTAAATAATTGAAACAACAAAAATATTGTTTTTCTTTTAGAGTGAATTACAACCGCCTCCCTGAGGTGAAGTTTATTTACGCAAAATCCCCTCATTTGTTAGAAACTACATCCAACTCCCTGTAATTTGTAAATTTCTTACGTGAACCCCTCTACAAAAAGGGTGTTAGTGTAAAATTTCTACAAATTGCAGGCGGATAAGTGTAATTATGAAAATACGAGGGTTATTTTTATAAATAGACCTTAATTCAAGGTAACGACTGTAATTTACCCTTTTTTTTTTATTCGAACTAACAAAAATATTATAAAACTCTCTTTTTTACCTGTCAAGAATCCCCTAATCCTTGAGCTCATTTGGCTTTGATTCATTTTTTATTTTAAACTTGCAAAAATTTTGAGACGGTTTTTTGACCTTAGCACTCCAACGATCAAGTCATAACTATCTATAATTATTTATTGGTACCTTTTTTTTTTAATTGAAGATTCTAATCACGAGATTATAAAGTAAACAAACATTGATTACATTGATTAGAAAAAAGTCAGGTGGACAAGAAAGAGACTACAATATTCTTGAAAGATAATTATTGACATAAAAAAGTTATGCTAATTAGATTAAATATTTGGAAGCCATCAAACACTAACATAATAAAATAGCAAGTTGCTAAAGCTAATAAATAATTTAAATTCAAGAATAAGAATATCCAAAAGATTCATCACAAACTATCATAACATAATTGGTCCACATTAGCAAAGCAAGTCCCATCAAAATATTTATTTATTTATTTTATTTATTTATTTATGCATATAATAACGTTAAGGTAGGTTGCCTAGATACACCTTTTCATGTTGGCTTTGCACACAATAATTGAGCTCAAATACTCCAATTTGCACTATTTTAATTAGACTACCTAATTACAATCAATTTTAGTTTTACAATGTCCGCACTCGAAAGAATTCAAACCATCGACCTCTCACGCCACTAATACTAATCCATTCGACACGAGCAAACTATCTTTTCGCCTTTTACTAAAGCCGATCAATAGCTAAGTAAGTTATGACCATATAATATGGGATAAATTCATTGTACATCAATTTAGATTAATTCAAATTTAATCAATTCAATAATTGAAAATAAAATATATGAACATAAATTTCCTAAATCCATACAATAAAAAATATATATATATATATATATATATATATATATATATATATGTATGCAAAACCCAATGATATTATTATGATACCAATTAATAAATTAAATATCTTCGAAATACACCCGACTTCATATTGGATCTAGCTAGATACTTGCTAAGTAGTGTTTGGTATAATTGGAGTGTACGTGTAAGCCATGCATCACACTCAACTTAAGCTTTTGTCCTTTTATTGTACGGTCCCTTTTTTTTGCCTAACTTTTGTCCTTGAAAAAACCCACCCAGTGACTAAGGCGTGTTTGGCATCACAATTCTTGTTTGTCAATAATAAAACTTGCTCTGATATAAATACTAATTATTGCAGTATAAAACACTTGGATAATTCGAATATCCATTGGGAACACTTGGATTGAAGAATAAAGGGGTAATAAACTTTATTGAGAAAATTGATAAGCAATAATGGAGTGCATATAATTGTGCTAAGTGCTCAATTATATGTATTTGAAAAGTTAGGTCATTGGGATAAGTTATCGAAATTGAGAGAGTATATTATTTGGTGACCACCACATGGTAGACCATAGGAATATGATTTCATCATGGGGATCACTATTTCAAATCCCAACTTTTGCTTACTTGAATACCAAAAAAATAAAAAATAAATAATTAATTGTAAATTACTTTAATACCCTTAATGAAATTAAAA